CAGTGCCAGGCTAGATGGACCCGTTGTGTGACTTGATAGAAGCTGGCTGCAGTAATCAGGCCTGCAGGGTTATCTCCTCAAAAGGAAGCTTTCTCTCTAAAGCTGCGCTGGAGTGCTGCAGGTGTGGGGCACGGAACAAAAGTGCTTTCTGCTGTGGGTTATACCCTAAACGCTCATGCTGTATTTTTCTCTTACATTTTAACTGAATGATGTTCTCAGGGGTTGTATCTTTTCTGTTAACAAGCTTCTTTAGGTATTAACACTGATAGAAAAGTGGGATATAAACTGTAATTCTGTAATGTCTGGATCTTCTCACAAATATATGCCCTGCTTCATAGCTACTTAGTTTTGAATAAAATGTGTCACATACATTCTGTCAGGGATCTTTGCAGAAAACTTCTGAGAAGGCTGATGCCATTATCTTCTTATTATCAGCCTCTGTCCTGAGGGTAGCAGTCAGCCTGGGGCCTCACAAATGTGAGTGGTGGGCTTCCTTTCCCAAGTAAGGCCAGGGTTTTCTTTACGTGCAGCCTGGAACTGTGGGTTTTTCATGGGTTGTTTTGCCATGCTACAAAGAGAGCAGGCAAGATTGTGTCTGGCTGGGAGCTGTCGTCCAACATGTGTGGCTGGAGGAGTCTGCTATGTGCAGACAACTCTGCAACTATTGGGGGATGATTGTCCATGTTTTGCATTGAATCCCCATTCATAGCTGGTTCTAAGGCAAAAGAGAAAAAGAAAAAACCTTGCTCACCATTTCCCTACAGTTGGTGCACAGAACTCTCAGAGCAATAACTTAATCAATGACTAATCCAGGGAACAGGCAAGGGAAGTAGAAATCCAATAAGCTCACAGAACAATGGCCTGATTTATCAAGCGTATTAAGCCCCTGAGTGGGTGTGCAGTGGAGGGATTCCACTCTGCTGTCATCTACAGCGTGGGCTTGCAGATGACTGAATCTTCCCGGAATACCTCCCTGCAGTTTAATCTGGAAGAGGTCTATTGGCACCTGTTTCAGCAATGAATAAAGCACCTATTTGCATATTTGTTTGACAGAGCTCATATGTGGAGCTCTCTGTCCAGTCTTATTTCTGCCACCTTTAAGGGGAAGGTTGACCAGGGGATGCATGGTCAGGCAAGGCATTCCATTTGAGTAACGAAAGGGAGAAGAAGCTGGCTGTAACTCCCATAATCCCCAGCCATTAGCCATGTTGACTGTGGCTGGTGGTTGTAGTCAAAAATATTTGGAGGCCGCCACTAGTCCCTTTGAACTTAAATGGGAGTGTAAGAGGAGATCTGCAGGTTGTTTGGGCTTCAGGTTGCACTTTGCTGGGTCGGAGAGACAAATAATGGGTGATCCGTCTCCCTGCTTTTTTGAACATCTTGATTCACCTGTGTCTAATACTTTGTCAGCTTCAGAGACTTCTGTGTATGATGTTTAAAAATGCTTTCTGCACTCCAGTATTTTAAAGGGATGTTGAGAAGGAATAACTAAGAGAAGAAACCATTCTCAGTATCTGTAGTTGAAAAAGACCTGGAGGTGAAGGCATGGGAAAGACTTCTGCCCCAGACCCTGGAGGAAAGCTGGACGCCGTGGTGTCTGCTGACCCTCTACTGCTGCGTCAGTTTCCAAGCACCTTGGCTGCAGTGCAGGCCTATGAACCACGAGGCTCTGCAGCTCCCTTGCAGGGCTCTGCAGGGCTTCTTCCTGGCCAAGGGATGAAAGGGAGAGAAGAGGCTGCCCTGTGCTTGGGTGACGACCATGCACTGCTAGTTCACTGGACCCCAACACATCATGGGCTCGAAAGGCCTTGGCTCTGCATAAGACAGTGTTGTATTTTCTAAACAGAACTCTGCTTGTATCCTTCCAGCTCCAGCAAGCAACCCTGTTTTGATGGCTTGGAAGTCTGGAAAGGTTGGCTGAGCCTCTAAGGCCGGAATGCACAACTGCCGGGCACCCATTTCGACCCCTTGCAGCTGCTTCACTGCAACAGTGGCCTAAAAGGCCCCGACCTCCGACTACAACTTTAAGAATAAGTTTGCTGAGATTGAGTGGCACATTGTTTTGGTGGAACGGTCTTGGTGGAGCAGGGCGTAGACTCCAGGTCAGGGGCGCTACATGTAGCCCACACACAGCCGGCTTCTTCAGTGCAGAAAAGAGAGCGCAGGATGAGCCCTGCAGGGTCAGACTGAAGGCCTTCCAGGTCCAGCATTCGGGGTGGACAGTGGCCAAGCAGGTGCCTCCATTGGAAGCTGGCAAGCAGGACGCCAGGAACTTGATGTGCCTGTTCCCCAGGAACTGCTGTCCTCTGATATTGGAGGAAGCACATAGCCATCCTGACTGGCAGGCAGCGATAGCCTTCGCCTCTTTTCTGGCAAGGCCCCGGGGCCCTCGTTGCTCATTCTTTTACAAGTGAGTTATTCCAGGAGCCCCTACCGCTGTCCTTGCCACCCGTGGCATTGGGCATGTGTGAAGAATTCTGGCTTTACTGTACAAATTTAGCTCATGTCTCTTCTGGTCCTCAACCTTCCCTTGCTTTCTTGCTGCGGAAATGGGTGTTCTTTTGCTAGGAACATGATTGACAGAACGGTGTCTACCTCCGTTCAGGTTCAAGGTGGATTCCCAGCAGTTTGTCTTAATTGCAGCTTTGTTTCAATCACAGACCACCAGCCTCTGTTCATGCTTCTCTTACATCTTGGCAGCCTCAAAGGAAACTCTTCCAAATGCACTTAACAAGCATCAACCGGCACTGCAGTTCCTTACTAGTCACGTGTGTTTACTGTTGGAAAAGAGGGAGGCCTCGTCTACCCACCTGTCTGCCTGATTCCTCAGCAGAGGCAGATCCAGGCCTGAGGGGGCCCTTGGCACAGTGTCTTCTAATCCATCCACATTCTGGGTTCACACAGCAGGTGCATTGCTTGGCTTCCATTCTGCATTTCCCACAGTGCCCCAGAGTGATGCTCCTTTGGGCACTCAGAACGCTGCAACAGATTGTCACTGTGGGGAAAGGCTCAGGTCACACATCAGCGCTGGTGGGGCCCAGCTCGGATACGTGGGTCGTGGCAGCTGCCAGGATATGCCCTATGTTGATGCCTTCCAGGCCCCGTTGGTGTCCAGCTGCGATGCAAGTACTTCTGATGGTCCATTCTGACCCACTTGGGTACGTCACGCACCGTCCAGTTGCTTGGCCATGTCTTCTTTGGTGGATTTTCTGCAGCAAGGAAAAAGGTGGAAGGAGTCATGGAAAGGGGGGGCAGCTACAAATAGATGACAGCAACGTCTTGACCCCACCCATGAATTTCCTGGAATGAAATGAGGTCATTGCATGGAAAAGCTGTACTTGAAATTGCCCAGCATCACAACCCGAACCTTCACTGAAGTGGGAAGAGGAGCTGAAGGAAGAATTCTTAGCTCCTTCCATCGGCTGTTTAATTTATAATCTAGCCACACTCATAACAAGTGCATGTGCATTAGGCCTCTGTTTTTAACTGCAGTGGCATTTTATAGTTGCTACTATAATATCTGAGTGTTCTATTTTTGAGGGTTTGGAGACTTGAACCTGCACCTTTTCAGGTACATATACAGGGAGAGAGATCATGTAAAGTTGCAGGTTGTTGTACATCAGCTCATACTATCTGTCCATCTTGCCCTGTATTGTCTCCTCCAGAGCTAAGCACCCTCCTTAAACTTTAAATGACTCCTGTATTCCCTGATCATTGGTGGTACTGGCTGGGGCTTATAGGACTTGTAGCCCAGAACATCTGGAACACCCCCGGCTGCCAACTCCAGGAATGTTCTCAGGGGCAGCTGCTCTTCCAGGTCTTAGGAGGAGATCTTTCACCTCAGTGGCTATGTGACCCTTGTTTCCAGCAATACCAGGGGTGGAATCGGGGGTCTTCAACGCACCATGCAGTGCTCTGCTTTGAGCTGCTCTTCTTAAAGAGTTTAGTCATGTCCATTACTTTTTTGTTATTTTTTATAAGATACAAATACAAAAACCAAAGCCATATAATAAAGAAAAAGACACACAATACACAAAATAAAATTTAAAAAACAGCAGTCACCCTTAGTGCACCCCTGCACAGGGACTGCCTAGTATATTTTTTCCTTCCGTTTTCCACTCTTTCCAAGATTCCCCTTTCTATCCAAAATTGCAGGACCTCCATTGGAGGTTTATTGCCCTCTCCTTTTATTAATACATGTTCAATAAACCTACTGCATATATTGTTAAAATCATTCTTCTTTACCCATGTGAGTTACTTTAAATGCATGGCATTAATGCTTGGCCTAGAGGGGAATAACAAAACTAAAGGCATGTTAGACAAAAAAAAGGTCTACAATTCCCAGCTTCCTGCAGATCACCGATCACCCTTAATGAGTGTGGATCACTTTCCTCATGGACTAGAATCTGACATTTAATGGCATGTTTGATTTTGAATGGCCTGAGGTGGCATCTGCTGTATTTTGTTTGTCTGTCTGGTGTAGTTGCATTAAGGCTCTTTTAGTATTGCTTTTGTTACCCACCTCTTTCCCCTCCTAGGAGGATCCCAAGATGGCTTAGTCCTCCTCCTCTCCATTTTATCCTCACAACAACCTTGTGAGGTAGGTTACCTTGAACGTGAGTGACTGGCCCAACATTGCCCAGTGAGCTCCATGACTGAGTAGGGACTAGAACCTGGATCTCCCAAATCCCAGCCCAGCTTTCTCCCCTCCACACCGCACGGTTTCTCTGCTTCAAATCCTGTTTTAAATTTTGTATTGAAACTTCACAGTGTTCTTATTGTATCTGGATTTTATATCTTTTTAGAGTATTGCATGAATTGTTGTGAACTGCCCAGAGAGCTTTAGCTATTTAGGGTATTGGGCAGTACAAAAATGAAGGCAATAAAAACACACAATTACTTCTGCTGCAGAACTAGCTACTCTCTAAACTGATGTTTCTTCTATACATTTTCAAGTTGTATATTTCTTATTTGTGTATGTCTGTGTGTTTTGTTTTCAGGTGATTATAAATAGCACAATCACACCTAATATGACCTTCACGAAAACATCACAGAAGTTTGGCCAGTGGGCGGATAGCCGAGCAAATACGGTGTTTGGTCTGGGCTTCTCTTCTGAACAGCAGCTAACAAAGGTAACTGACTCTGAATTTCTTATTTTCTTCCACAATAAACTCAGTGACTCAGCAGCATAAAGAGAAAGCTATTGTGGGAGTCTCTTTCCACACACACAAAATTATATGCCTGGAGATATGCCTTCCACTTTTTCTTGAGAGCAACTTGTCTTTGCACAGGTGATTAATCTCCCTTAATTAATGAGTGGGCCAGAGTTGGTGGGAGGTGTTAAACCTTTAAGCTAGAAAAGTATCTGTGACAGCTTTCAATTGCATGGGGTGGCCTACCTTTTTATCGCTGCCTTGGGACCACATGCGATGTGAATCTAAAAACAAGGCTACTGCTGAAAACAGCAGCTGCGCTCTACTCCGCATTTCCCCTTCCCTTCCCTTCCCTTCCCTTCCCTTCCCTTCCCTTCCCTTCCATGTGCTGCTTGTTCCCTTGCTTCTGCAGCCTGCGGTGGCAGCCAGGCCCCAAGGATGGGGAAGCGCGCAGCATCTCTGGGCAAGGACATGGGGAGGCCAAGCTGCCCGTCGAAGGTGGTGGAGCGGCGAGGCCTGCAGCGGTGGCTTTTGGCAGTGGTGGCCCCTGCAGGTAACCCTGCCCAAGGGGATGAGCCCTAGTGCTAACACTGGAAGTCACCACCAGCCCAAGCCTCCTTTGGGGTCCCTTTGTGTGAGCATCTGTGCTGCCCACTTGCATCCTTAGGGGAGCACAGCTAGACTCCAGGTTGTACTTGGCTACTAGGCTCTTTATGTACCAACCTCTGGGCTACTAGGGTGGTATATACATGCAAATAATAAAGAATAAGCAACAAGATGCAGGCAGCCAGGGCCCTGAAATGGTGTTAGCATAACCCACACAATGTGGCACGCCTCTGAGGAGCCTTGCTCTGTTCGCTTCCAAAGCACACAGTCTGGGTTTTGATGAAAACGGGGTTTGAAAAAGGTTAAGCATTCAGGATAAGGTACAGAATGGCAAGAGGCTGGTCACATTCTCCGCACTCAACAACAAGCTGGCAATCAGTTGCAGTCGGCAGGCAGAAAGGGAAAATACCGCCTCACCCAAGCCGTGTCCCTGGTCCCTCGAGGTCCCGCTTTGCCCATGGCACGTCCTCCTCCTCGGGTGACCTGCAGCTGGCTGCAAAAGGGAGGGCCCTCTCTCTCCCTCGGTCCTGGGTAAGATGGATTCAGCATGGACTGGCTGAGTGGGCCACTCTGGGTCAGCCTAGGCCGACCAGAGCAGCAGCCATGTATCAAAACTTCAGCTAGATTTTGAAAATCTTCTTTATACTGTGGTGCACTTTGAAAGCCTTGAGGTGACTGGCTCTGGTTTCAAAGCAGATATAAAAATGTATAGTTCCACTAGCTGTGAAGAAAAGGTTTGGTTAGCCGCTAAACATGATAACAAACCCCAAACTTGCATATTCCCGGCTCCCAAGCTCTTCTTTTGGATGATGAAGGGCTCACGAGCACGGGCTCAGGGGTGACCAGGGGCTTCCCCAAGCTTTCTGGCTGAGCAGAAGGGCCTTTGCCCGACGCCTGAAAGACCACAGGGATGGCGCTGGCAAGCTGTGCACGGCCCCCCTCCCTGCGTGGCGCCCATTTCACCCAGCAGGGCCCTGAGGAAGATGCTGAGGCCTGGGTGGTCCCTAAGAGAGAAGGGGCTCTTCCAGGCAGCCTGACCCCAGGCCTTTAACGGTGAGGACCTGCCCTGGACAGGAACCAGCAGCCAGTGCAGCCTGTGAGCCAGAGGCATAATGGGGGCAAACAGCCCATTTTCAAGATTGTTCTTGTTCTTAAGGGCAGGCCCCCTGTGTGGCCCGTGGCAGCCCACGAGGGGCTCGAGCAGAGCACGGGCCTGGCTGATGCAAGGAGCATCAGCTAGTGCAAAACGCTTCCTTGCGGCTCTGCGGAAGGGAGGAAGGGAAGCGATGAGCGCAGGAGCAGTTCGGCTCATCCCCCTGAAAATCAACCGGGAGTGTCGACCGGTAGTTCCAAGGGCCTGGACAAACTCACTTGGGACCCCATTCCAACTTTCTGGCCACGTCCCCTGTCCTGTCCCTCCCCCCCTTTCCTCCGATCATCTCCTGCCTTTCTTTCCCCCTTTTAAAATACTGAAACGGCCCCGCTGAGGTTTAGTTGCTGGCAGTAAGAACTTTAAGATAAAATATTATATTTTTGTCCCGACTCCACCCACCCCTCAGAGGGATTCTCTGAAATTGAATTTGCCTCCAGCTGAATGAGGTTCTCACCCTGCAGTAAAGCATGTTGTCTTTTGTTTCCGAACAAATTTTCCATGGTAAGAAAAGAAGCAGCAGCAGTGAGGAAGCATGGGAGGATTACATCAGGGCCCTCCCAGGCCCTGGTAAAATTCCATGAACGAGGCCGAGCAGTCGCCTCTGAAAAGCCTTCTCTGGAAGCAGTCTGCATGCTGTAGAAAATTTATTACTTTCCCTGGCTCCCTGCTAGAGAACTTCATAAAACAGCAGTAACTGGTAATGAATGACAAGCACTTGGCACAATATGCTCTCTGTTTGTTGAAGCAGCCCTCTTGCCAGGCCAACGGAGTGTTTTCTGCTTCTAAAGGGGGCCCTTATCTGGCCACATAGCTGTCGTTTTTTCAAGGCACCAACCTCTTGAACTTTCCACCCTTGAACATTCCAAAAGTTCCTGGCCAGTCTTGTGCTTCTAACCTTGAAGGCCAGGAGATCTTAGATGCAGGAACAAGGAACAAGCAGCAATTAACTGGCTGCATTGGACAGCTGAATGCAAAGATGGTGCACACCTGGTTCTTGATACTCTCCATGTGAAATAGGTATGATTTTCATGAAGCAGCAGCTGTTGAAATATTGGTTATGGTGACAGAGGAGTGTAGGAGCCTGGCTGATGTGAGGTCAGCCCATGGGTGCATCTGGTCCAGTATTGCTGAGACTGCCCAGCCATGGCTCTGCAGGGCTCCAGGGTTTCCAGCCCTTTGTGTAAGTCAGGAATTGAAGTGGAAACTTCTGTATGCAAAACTTGTGCTGTGCCGCAGAGCTATAACCTTTCCCAGCACTCTGTCACAACGCCAGTTAATGCAACCAGTGCAAATTGCAATCGATGCTTTAGCCTTTGTGTTCAGATATTCAGCATGCTTGTTCACATTGCCTTGTTTGTAACCCACAGTGCTGTGGGAAGTATTCAGACTTCTGGGATCACTTTTGTTTTTTTACTAGTACCCTGAGACTCACCATGCGGAGCCAGCTGCAGAAGGCCTGTAGTTAGAACTAGCGGATCCTGAGCACAAGGATTTGTGCTGAGTTCCTGGACGAGAGTGAATTCACATACTTCCATCTATTGTCACCTGGCCAAGCTGTCTTGATTTCAGCAGTGTAATTTGGAGGATCGTGCCTTGTATTAAGCAATTGAGAGTCAGATCCTTTCTGATCTACTACAAATTACCCAGAAATCCACCTTTCCTACCAGTTAGGTAGGTTGGTAGTCGCATCCCATATTGCAGAAGAGGAGAAGTGGTTGAGACTGGTTTGCACAGGTTGCAGAGGAGGGATTCAGCTTGGAGGATGCTAGATTTGTAGCTCAAACCTCATAGTTCAGTTGCTAAAATGCACGCGCCATGTGTGTGTCCTGAGAGAGCGATGCTGTTGACATTTGTTTATGATCAGGGGACTGCTATAGGGTCAGTGATGGCGTGCCAGCTTTCCAATTTCAGTCACTGCCATCTTCGCTAGAACGCAGTCCTGTGGATGTCGAGAAGAAACAGGCCCTGACGCCAGCCGCCTGGCTGGGTCATGCGGGGAGCTGCAGGCCCCTTTCCCTGTCTCATATGCATGGGATTGCAGCTTTGGGAAGACAGGTGAGGGGACAAGGATTTCTACTGTTGGGTTTGTCACGAGATGCAGCTGGGGATGGCTCCCCCCCCCAGAAGTCCTTCCCCCTCGTATCTTGGAGCAGTCCTTGGGCTGCCTGGAGGCACCACGGAAGTTTCCTCCCACTCACCAGCAGTAGAACCAAGGGGCCTGTGGGGCCATATTGTGTGGTATGTGTGTGGGGAGATCTTGGCAGCTGCCCTGTGGCAAGTGAAGCAGGAGGCCGACCTCTGAGATCTTCCCCTCTAGGAAGCTGCCTTTGTCCATTGTCCATTGCAGGCCAGCTTCAGGTTTTGGGCCCCACTTCTCTTTGGAAGAACGCTGGCAGACTTGCCTGATCTGGCAGGACCCAGGTGGGTGGAGATCACCGCTTAATTCCAGCGGTTCCTTGAGGTGATGTAACATCTGGAGAATGGCTGGGAAAGAAGTGGCAGCTTGACGTATCTGCCAGGTATGCTCCAAGTTCCTGGCTGTGCGGAGTGAGGGGAACTGAGGGAATCCCAAGGCAGATGCTGCTAGAGAGCCTTGGCCGCTACCCAAGGATGCTCAGATGGTCCATATTGTGCCAGCCCTCGTCCATATTGGCTGCTCCGTAGATGATCGTTGACCCGATGTGGATAGCAGGTCTGCAGCTGCTCTGGCAAAGGCATTTCTTATCTTCTGGTACCTGATCCTGATGAGCCCAGATGCTGTTGATTAAATTTAGCCATGTCAAGCAGATGTTCTGCCACTGGATGCCTGACTTGCTGTCAGGCAGGGCTTTGACCCGCCCTCTTCAGCATTTCGGCCAAGCAGCTGAATCTTGCTCAGGGACTGATATAGTCCCAGAGAATTCGTGCCATGTGAAGATCCCTCTCCCTGAATCACACACCTGCTCCAGTACGCATGTATTTATTTAAAACTCTTCTATGCCGCCCCCATTGCAACAAAGCCTCGGGGCGGCTCACAACATAAATAAAACATAAAAATATAACAATTACACCATTAAATTAAAAACCCCGGTGACATCAAAAAAACATTTAGGATAGCCTGCGGTTTTCTTTGGAGCCCCAGCTCTTTGTCCCTCCTTCATGTGCGGTGGCACCAAAATGGTACTCCTCCCGTCCTTCCCGCGGGAATTATCCTTTCATGCTCACTGTTTAGGATGCATTTTTAGAGGGCATTCAAGACTCTCCTCATGCTGAAAGGACGCTCTTTTTGTCTCTTGCGTGTGTTTCTTCCACTGCTTAACAGGCCATATGTTCATTTCTGCTTCTGCCTGTGATGTTTTTCACTTCATTTGTTGCTTGCAAGATGTACTTGGATTCTAAACTTATGAGCCACTTTTCAAAAATATGTTTTCAATCTGGGGCAGGATATAAACAGAAAGCTCACAAAGGAATCCATGGTTCTTCCCTTTCCTGCATAATTCTGGGCACTTTAGTCCAGAAGTGGGCAGAGAGATTTTCTGTGCTTTAGTGTTTGTTCTGGTTGCCTGTTTTGCTGCTGACTGAAATCCACGTTAAACATTTTTAATGCTTTCCAGAGAAGCAAAGCTGGTCTTTGCCACCTGTTGCGTAGATCCTGCAACAGTCATTTCCCTGGTACTGTGCTGGCTGTTTACCAACAAGTTCAGCCTGAAATGTAACATTCTTTCAACCTATGTTTTGAATAATCTGTTGTTCCCTGGCCTGGAGTAACAGTTTTGCCCTTGCCTGAGAGCAGAGCAGGCTTTCCCCACCTCCCAACCGGTTTCGTGTGAATTGCAGGTATGAAAGTCCCCACCCAATTCTTTTCTGCAGCACGCACCCCTTTTTTCCTTGAACAAAGTAGGTAAAATCCGAAAGGGGTTCTTTTTCCTTTCAAAAGCTGTAATAAAGCAATGTTGAGAAACAGTGCTAAGTGGATCCTGGAGCGTTTCCAAGTACGTTTTATTTTGTGCTAGGTTGCTTCTCAGTTTGGTGTTCCTGAGCTGTTTGCACTGCATTATCCTACCCTGTCTTGTCTGGTCTCCACTGGAATCAAAGGAGGCCTTCTCCTTTACCTGCCCCACAGCCATCCCCAGTGGGGATGGGATTTTGGGGAACCCTGGAGGGTGGGGAGCCTTCACCCGTCCCTCACAGAGGCCTGTGGCCCTGAGCCCAATTGCAGCTTCACAGGAGTGAGGAAAAATAGCAGGATCAACTATGCTGCACTTTTGCTGCTATGCTGCCATGGAGTTTTTGGCCCTTTTTGGCAATTTGCGGGTGGCAAGAGCCTCTTAGTGAAATCCTCTCATTATTTATCCTCTCATTACTGGGAAAAACTCTTTCCACTCGGATATTGAAGGATAGTCTCTCTAGGTCCGAAGCATGTTAACAACTGTTGGCCTGCAGCCTGCCACCCCCTTCTTGGGCAAGGTGCTCGAGCGATGGTGCCTGGACAGCTCCGGGCACGCTTGCAGGAGACAGACCATCTTGATCCATGCTAGCCTGGATTTAGGCCTGGATATGGGACAGAGACTGCCTTGGGATGACCTTTGCTGGGAGAGAGATGGGGGAAGCATGTCCCCGCTAGTTCTCCTGGGCCTCTCAGCAGCTTTCGATACTGCTGAATAGCGAGCCTCAGTGCCAAGATCTGTAAAGCACTTACCAAAAATGTTGAGTTTGGACGGAAGGGGAAAACTCAGTTTGCGTTTAGTAAGTGCAGCATGGGCAGGAAAGAATTAGTCTAGGAATTTGGGAGCCTAAGCACTGCTGGTTTAAGATTTATCTGTGGTAATATATTATTTTGCATTTGTTGACAAGTGTGTGTCCTTAACATAATGCCTATTTTCTAGGTTGTCCATAGTTAGCTCGGCACCCTCCAGCTGTGTTAACTAAAACTCCCATCATCCCCAGCTAGCAAGTTCCATGACCTGCAGGTCTGCAGTGTACCAGATTGGGGAAGGCTAGGCTGTGGTCTGCTGTATGGCAGGCCAGTGGTACTGACGCAGAAATTTGCATCCGTGTCGTGCCCTAACTCCCAAAATAAAAGTTCAATGTGTGATAGCAACCGATCCATTATCTTAATGCCATCTGAGGCCATAGGTTAGTATAAGGCTGACAAACAAATTACATTCATGGCCAGTTGCAGGAATTTATTCGGTCTTTTCCTCCACAGAAACGTGTTCTCAAATGAATATTTGTCATTATCTGGCTTTCAGGCTGCCTCATGACAGCCATTTTCCTTTGATTAAATGGATGTTTTGATAGAGAAATTAAGAGTAAACCCTACAGAGAGGGAAGAGTCAGATTGGTGAATATGCCCACTTACCTGAAATAGCAATTTTCCCATTTTCCCCATTTACCTGTATTTTTCTCCCCCTGCTGCCTCTAGGGCTAATTGCCTCTAATTGGGCTGGGGACGATTTAGATCAGGAAGTGGCCAGAGAGTGGAGCACGGTTAGCATTTCATAATTGATCAGAGGTGCAGCTTCCTAAAAGCGTTAATTTTAATACTCATCGATTTCCTTCACGCTGTTTGGTTCCATCCTTTTAACATTCAGCTTTTCATCATGAAGCATTTATTTTGTGCTCAACATTCCCTGTTGGCAGTTGTTTATAGGCAATGGTCTTACTCTCCACTTTTGCTTCTCTTTCTCTACAAGATTTTTTTCCCCGTAAGCAGGGAATATTCTATATTATCAGTGAATTCTAAAGAAAACACTCTTTTAACTTGTGAATTTGCACTATTCCGCTCCTCTACAGTGCTACCTAAAGGTTATGTCATGGAAAAGCAGGAAAGGCGATGTTTTACACAAAATCTTGCCACTATGTCTGAACCCAGAACTGTGGGTTATTCATTAACTGAAAAATAAATTGGAGTAAGCTATTTTGGGGGGCTGCACTAATGTAGCTTTTTCTATGTGTGCCTGCTTAGTTTGCTGAGAAATTTCAGGAGGTGAAAGAAGCTGCCAGACTAGCCAGAGACCGATCACAAGAAAAAATTGAAACTTCCAGTAACCATTCCCAGGTAAGTTATTGATTTGCAATCAATCCAAGGAGAAGGGATGACAGATTTGAAAAGGAGATTTCTAAAGAAAAGAGCCATTTGCAAAACAAGTGTTTAAACACTTTTGAAATGCTATCAAAGCCCAACTACACTTTTATTGTTAGCAAATAAAGAGTAATTTAATAGGAGTTATTTTTCTATGCTTGTTATGCTTTCTCATTGCCTTTGGAGAGGCTCCACTTGCGCAGAACAGCAAACGGATGCACACGGCCTGCTTGCCCAATCCAGTTTGTTTCATGCGACATTCAAACCCAGAATTTTGGCCTGTTGCCCCCACGCTTGATCCTGGCTGTTTTGGGAGCAAGAAGCTGGGATCCCAGGCTCAGATGACACACAGAGTGAGCCATTTCTAATTTGTTTACCAGTTCATGTGAGCAGGAGAAGCCAAGCAGAAGCAAACGGGGCCTATCTGTGTTTTCATATCTCATTCACAGTAAGCCAAAATTTGTCAGCAATCCTGGGCTATCATCCTGTGCAAACATGGCTGGGGACTATTTACTTGTGTAATACTTTGTTCATTAAACAGAAGACAAGTATATGCAGCTTATTTATTTATAATTATCGACAGCAGACCGCGTTGTAAAACTGCTTCCTAACTATACCATTCCTGACCGTAGGTAGGGGATCATACAAGGGGGGACCCAAAAAACCCACAGGAATTTATTTATAAAAATTATGTATTATTTTTACGTGTTCAAACTTCAGTCACCTTCAAAGTACTCTCCATTTGATGCAATGCACCTTTCCAGACTGTTTTCCACTGTTCATACAGGTTTTGAACTTGTTGAGTTTGATGCCTTTTAGTGCTTCTGCCATTTTTTGTTTCACCTCTTTCAAATTGGCAAAACATTTCCCTTTGAGGACTTTTTTCATCCGGGGAAACAAAAAATAGTCACACAGGGTGAGATCAAGTGAATAGGGAGGGTGGGACACAAGGGTTGTTGTTTGTGTAAATCAGCCATCATGAGATAGGCAGCCATGTTGAAAGAGTTTCCAAAAATATCTCGTTGAAGCCAAAGACCACCTCCCACAGCAACCCAGCTGGGTTCACTGATGCACAGGGGTTCTTAGCGCATTCACCTCGCAGGCGAAGCCTGTGCGACCAGGGGCCCACCCTCCAGAAGGCAATTCCTGGCTTTTTGGCTCTACCCTCATATATTTGAATGTTAAATCCTTAAGGCACATGCTCACCCCGCCTTGCAGGACATGTAGCTTTCCTTAGAGAACAGTTCTAGCCTAGGCTTCTCCTGATCCTGGCATTTGTGTGCAGGGCCACATTTACAGCAACTTTCCCCATCCTCTGATATTCAAAGCTGAAGTAACACAGGCCAAGAACCTTTTGGCAAGAGAGCAGTATGTATAGACATGCCTTCTGGATCGTGCGCATGGTAATCTTCTGTAGACGGCAGTCTTTTGCTGGGTCACCTGGATAATTGAGGGCGAGCACCTTTGCTGTGCTGCAGCATATGGAGGTGGGCTTGTCCTGACCAATCTGTTGCTCTGCGGAATGTGCCCCACAGGAATCGGGGCGGGAGACCCCCTGCTCTACTCGGGCATCCAGTGTGAACGGCACAGACGACGAGAAGGCTTCACACGGTGGTCCCTCGGATGCACAGCTCCGAACAGAGAACGACAAACTGAAGCTCGCCCTAGCACAAAGGTGAAGCCGCTTTTGCGACCGCATGGTTGTTGCACGAACACGCACAAATGGACTCGCAACGAGGCACGACACTTCTGTCCCAGTTCATGATTGCTTTTTCCGCAGGCCCCATTCCATGCCCCCTCACGCACTGCCAGTTCTCAGCCAGCATCAGTGAGCGGGCTGCAGTGTTTTGGGGGGACCAGGCCTGCACCATGGCTTCCTGAAGGGTTTTTTGTGCTTCTGCCCACCTCAGGTGTTTCCCTGAGCCAGTGGCTCTTCCTTCTTGTGGTGCTGTACTAGCTGCCTACGCAACAGTTCAGGCTACTGTACCGTTGGAAAGAGAGAGAAGGGGGATTTGGTGTTTGCCTGTGGCAGGTGCTTCTAATCTTGCATTCCAGTATTCCTACACCAGGATGCCTGTGCTCTTTGCCACAGTGGAAGGTTCTCATCCCATGTTGGGTAGCAAGAAGCAGGCAAGAGCAAATCCTGCCCCCAAGATTAGTTGGTGCCATGCTCTGTATAAAACAAGCAAACCACAACACCCAGTGAATTTTAATTTCAAATTATGCTCTAAAGCAAATGCCTTTCAACTGGGATGCCAATAAAAGCAGCTGCCTCTTCCACGTTCCCTTCAAGCATGTCCGTGTAGTTAGCAGAGCCCTGAGGAAGTGCTGTTTGAATTGTTTACCATTCCTTTTTGTTTTTAAAAATATGCTGATGTTCAACATCTGGCAGACTCAGAAGCTTTGTTTTCATATCAGACCTACACAAGGGCAGATGATTTATTCATTCATTTGGGATCTTTTCCTATCACTTTTTCAACAAAAAGTTTTTGAAATGCTCCAGGGCAGCTAACAGATTTGTTTGCATGGAGTTCTGCTGGCTGGCTGTGCATGGGGAGGCAGAGGGGGCGGGGGGATTGCTTTTCTGCCCTGCCTTTTCCTCTTGCTGCTTCGGCAGTTCTCTTCCAGTCTGGAGTATCTCCCAGAAGCAACTTGGTGAGGGAGGTTAGGCTGAGAGTCCCTGGCTGGCCCAAAGACACCCAGTGAGCTTCATGGCTGAGGGGAAGCAAAGCCCTTCAGATCCCCAGGCCAACCCTCTAAGCACGACGCCACACGCTTATTCTGGATAACAACAAACAGTGTTTATTGAAGAAACGATGAAGCAGAAATTCACAGTGGACTGAAGTCCGGACAGAGTGGGATTGCACCTCCTAATCTCCTAAATTCATTTCCCTCAGGTAATCCCCTCCACCCTTCCAGTGGTCAGCAGGCGAATTCCCAGCTGCCGCCCCCACTGTTCTTCCACGTTCCCTTCAGCTCCCGCACCCACAGTATTCCTAGCACCCACACAATCTCCTCTTCCCCAAGACAAATCCTAAGCACGGCTCACGGACGGCATCCGGCATCTGCTACAGCCTCCACAGGACTCTTATTCTGCCTCAGAACAAATGAGCGTCCCTCCCACAACCTCTGCCTGAGGGCTGCCGTGGTTTCCTTAACTGCTTATTTACAGCAGGGGTGGCACTACGTGGCCCGTGGGCCTCCGCTAGCACCACCTGCAATTCAGGAACCCCCCAATTTAAAAGAAGCATTTTGGGGGTAGGACAGTAGAAGCTATTACAGAGGGTTCAACTTTGCTATATTTTGACCCTTTTGATGGCTCATTTGAGCTCCAGATGCTATTTTGTTGTTGCTTTTAAATTACCCTCCTCCCATTTTCGACAGCTGGAGGGGAGGGGAGGGGAGGCAAAGATGGTCCCTGGACTTCCCAGAGTTGCCCACCCTGGTCCACAGCATTTCTACCCCCAGAGCTGTTTGCAAAGATGAGTGGATTCTGACTGTCATGTCCGTGGCAGTGGAACAAAGGGAAGCGCTGCCCTGGACCCCCCTCCATGCATGTGTGTGCACGCACACACACTCCAACAAATCCAGGAGCAGAATGCAATAGCTCCTTGGCCAGAAGGATGGGGCTGCTTTTCCCACCGTTCTTCCCACTGCTTTGTAGCTGGTGAAGGACTGTGGGTTTGAATGCCGCTCTGTGAAAGAGGGAAGGAAAAGGGCCGTGTGTCACTGGCCACACTGGGCTCCTTTTCCTGCCATGCTGGTGCTCCGTATGCAGGGAGTTGGTTATATCGGGGAACATTCCAACAGGTGGTTCCTCCATGTGCAGGAAGAAGTGGCTTCGCCCACTGAATGCTTTTTCCCAGTATGTGGCATGGAGCAAGGTGGTTCTGTACTAGTTGTGTGTCCAGTTTTTGCCAGCCCAGAAGGCAAGCTGCCCTTGGCAGTCAAACTAAATGAACAAATCCAAAACGTGCCTCATGGATGGCATTTGACAGTTGTCTACAGCCTCAGCAGGACTAGCTGGCCTGTTGTTACACACAAGTAGATTTCTAAAGAAAACTAGGTAATGCTTTCGTGTGCTGGTACATGAAAGCATTACCATCTTAGATGGAGAGTCAGTATGGTGTGAAGGTTAAAATTTTGGACTGGGGACCCAGCAGATCCAGATTTTATTCTCCACTTGGCCATGAAGCTCACTGGGAGAATTTTGGCCAGTCACAAACTCTCAGCCCAACCAAAAACCCAATAGTGTTCTTGTTGTTGTGAGGATAGAAACATAGAAACAGAGCAAGTCAGAAGGGACCTCCCGGGCCATCTAGTCTGACCTCTGGCACCAGGTGGCTCTGCTCACGACATGCCCACCATGTGCACGTCCAGCCTGTCCTTGAACACCCGCACCGGTGGGGCCTCAAGTTGGCCCTCTTGAAGTCCCAGCTTCTAGTGCTTGCCCTGCTGCACGTTGCCAGTCCCCTGATCTTAGAGCAAAGGATGGAGGATAAAAATGGAGCTGTGTAAGCCCCAAGAGGAAAAAAGACAAGATATAAATCCAACATAACAAAAAGAGGTTCATTTACATGGGTTTATTTTTGCTAAGAAACAAATCCTGTCACCATGTCACTATTTAAAACTGATTGAAGACCTTCTACTGTATAAGGCAGTGGTGGTGGACCTATGGCACGTGTGCCATAGCATCACTCCAGCAGCCGAGCATCAGATAACAGCGCACAGAGGGGCCATGCGCATGCTCCGAAAGGAGTAGTGGTGCCAGACAATGAAGTCACAAGCCACGACTTGTCCAAACTTTCGCATGGCTGGTCAGTGCACTGCCAAGGATATACTGTATGTATATTTGCTTGGACAGGCTGTGATTTGTTTTCTCTAAACTAAAACCTCAGTTTTCAGGTTTTATTGTAGTGTTGGCACTTTGCAATAAATACGTGGATTTTGGATTGCAGTTTGGGCACTTGGTTTCTAAAAGTTTCACTATCACTGGTTTAGGGTTAGAAAAACAAAGTGTTCTGGCATGATTTTGATGCTTGGAATATGCTCACAATGGGCAGAAATGATGAGCAGTGCAGAAAAATCTACTCAAGGAAGGCTTTTTCAACATCGTCCTCTTTTCAATGGAACTTTGGCTCTATAAAAGGTTAGGGGTGTGCACCAGGGCAGGGTTAGGGTTAGAAAAACGAGGTCTCCTGACATGGTTTTGATGGTTGGAATGCATTTAGAAGGGGCAGAAATGATGAGCAGTGCAGAAAAAGCTGCTCAAGGAAGGCTTTTTCAACATCGTCCTCTTTTCAATGGAACTTTCCCCCTATATTAGGTTGAAATTTTTTATTTAAATATTAGGGTTAGGGGAGTGCACCAGGGTAGGGTTCGGCCAGTGGTGGTGGACCTATGGCATGCATGCTATAGCGGGCACATAGATCCTTCTTTGTTGGCGCACGAGTCAAGTCACCCCAGCATTGCCCTGGCCGCCTAGCATCGGATAGCAGCGCACATCAGGGCCATGCGCGAGCTTGGAAAGGAGTAGCAGCACCAGTTGATTATGTCACAAGCCGCAACTCATTAGGCACAACTCGTCCGAGCTTTCGCATGGCCAGTCCTTGTGCTGCCGAGGATATATATATACTTGGACTGACTGTGAGGTGTTTTTCCTAAACTAAAACCTCACCTTTCAGATTTTATTGTAACGTTGGCACTTTGCGATAAATAAGTGGGTCTTGGGTTGCAGTTTGGGCACTCAGTCTCTAAAAGTTTCACCATCACTGCTATAAGGCATCTTTTTCCTTCTGGAAGCATTTAAAGCAATGCAGATATTGTTCAAAACACTAATAGATAATAAAAAAAATTAACCTTCAGTCTCCCAAGAGAGAGGCTTCGTACTCAAAAACAGGAGAATAAAGCCCAAGCCTTCTTCCTGCATGCTCCAGCCATGGAAACTCACCATGATCCCTCTACAGCTCTGGCTCAAATATTTGAAATTGCAAGCCGGAACTAACCTTCTTTAAAAACTGAAAATTGTAAGCTCGGGTTGTCATGACCTATCCAAAAAATGACAAATACAACAACACACACATCCTTCAAGCTGTTGCAGTAGGTGGTCCATGGCATAAGCAGGAAGCATTTTCCGCTGTGGTTCTCCAGTGTCTGCCAGTTCCTCTCTCCAGCTGCAGCCCCACTGCTGTAATGCTGTTCTCAAAGGGGTCTCATGGGCCCCTGGAGAGGTTTTGGAGAAAGGGATCATTGGAAGGAGGAGGCGCACAATCGGAACGGTGCCTGCAGAGCAAAATGCCAGCTCCAGAGCCAGTGTTTTGGAAATTCACAGGACTGCAATTTGTAGCAATGGCAAAACCAGGCCATGAAGGAGTTTTAAAGACCCAGCAGGGTGTATGTACAGGTAATTTATGCCTTAGAAGACCTTGGGTGGTCTAGAGCCTGTACTCCATTTCTTGGCAAACTGCTTAATCCACTTTTGTTAATCAGGATTATACATTTTAAGAGCCAGTCCCCACATCCAGTTCAGTCAGTGCAACAGTGGACAACATCTGGCCTTCCAGATGTTTCTGGACTGCAGCATGCATCAGCCTGCATAGCCAGTAATAAGGAATAAGGAGAGTTGCATTTTAACTACCTCTGGAAGCCAGATGTTGCCCATACCCTGGATTTAATTATTTTGATACAGTTGAAGAATTCTGGTTCTACACTGCAAAATTTGGTATTGTCTCTCTTACTAGGTGTACAGAAAAATGACACTAGTGCTGAGAAATCTCAAAGTCACTTGTGATCTTTTTTCCCCTTCAAGTTCCTCCAATGTAAAGAAATGGGAAACAGAATTGCAGTCACTTAGGGAAAGCAACGCCAGACTGACTTCTGCACTCCAGGAATCTGCGGCTAGCATAGAGCACTGGAAAAAGCAGTTTTCCATTTGCAAAGAAGAGAACGATCAGCTCAGGAGTAAGGTACTGAATGTAACAACTTGATGCATCAGTTTATGTCCTTGCTATTCGAATTTTTTATTAGAAAAAGAACATACATGTGGGGTATTTCCTGATTCCCACCGGGAGTCTGATGGGAAGTAGGTGGTAACTGTTCTTAGACCTGTTCATCTTTTTTTCAAAGTCACCAATTGTCTTTCTGGGAAAATGCAGCAGTTCTTCCAGATAATTCACCTAAACATGGGTTGTAACTGCTGCATATGGATTGTGGTTGCACACATATTGCCAGTTTTACCAAACCATGGTTAACATGGCTGGAACTCTACGACTCAACAACTCTCGCTTGGTTGTCGTATTGTGTGAACTGAGCCAGTAGCCCAATATCCTCCCTTGCTTAAAAAAGGAAAACATCATTTGGATAATAGATATTCACAGTGGCCTTCGACTCTACCCTTAGAAGTGACCTATATTATAAAGTTGACTTCTCCGAAGAAGAAAAATGTTCCCATAATGTGACAAAAGATTCACTATAGTGAGATGAATGTCCTTTTCTGCTTGCAACTTCATTCACTTTGGTGCTCTTCTGCTCCAGTCACCTTTCTGCTGTGTTTTTGCTTTCTGTTGCAAAGCATAAACAACTATAATAAAGGATGGATGTGGGAGAAAAAGGACCAAAAGAGAATGGGTAGAATTGAAATCGCCTAATGCGACACACACACGCACACACACTCTTTCTGCGTGCAAGAAACCTGAACTATTTTACACCCAGTAACATCCTGTCTACAGATGTTTTGTTTTGGTTTTGCAAACTTGAATATTCAGTGTGCTGCTAATACAGAACTGGTAGGTTAAAATGTCCATTGTCCCATTCACCCAACTGTTCAAGTAGAGGACCTTTGATATGTTACGTTCTTGTTTGCATGCATTCTATGCAATGAATTAGAGGCATCCAAGGCTGTTTGCTATTTTCCTTTAAAAGTTACAAACCCCAAAATAACAGAAGAGCACCCTTGACCCGGGCTGCTTCTCTCCTCTTTGCATTGCAAAGTCAATCTAAGTTGACTGTCCCTGGATCAGCCTGAGATTATTGCCATTTCATCCCACTGTTTTTCTCTGGTGAGGAACCCAAGGCGGCTCTCGCAGTCTTCCTCCTCTTTTTATCCACACAACACCACCTGTGAAGTAGGCCAGACTGCGAGTCCTTGGCGGTCCTGAAGTCGCCCAGTGAGCCTTGTGGCCGAGTGGGGACTAGGAAAGGGGTCTCCCAACTCCCGGCCTGACACCCTCGCCATGCGTCCTTGTGGCCTCATGCGTCTTTGTGGCTGCATCATGCGCTTCTGTAGCAGCGTGGGGACCGCTTGGCCATGGCTTCTTCCCACACCGCTTCACTGATGCTTGGATGTAGAAACGGCATGTGCTGGCCCAAAGTGGTCCCATGTGGGAATGTGTCCCTTCCAGGCAAGCAGCATTCCCTGGGTGAGCAGTGATGTCATTGCTGCTGTCCACGTGATGCTGGAATCAGCCTGATACCAGGATTAGTGCAGTAGTGCCTTTTGAATTGCAGGCCTCATCTTGACCGTCCCCATAGCTTTTAGAGCAGTCCAAAAGCGTAAGAGAGAGAACAGAGTTCCATAGGTCTTTTAAGAGCTAATGGCTCTTTATCTATTTGTTTATTTATATTTCGATTTCTATCCTGCCTTTTTCCTACAAAGGGCTCAAGGCAGCTTACATCATTTTCCTCCTCCATCTTATCCCCACAACAACAACCCTGTGAGGTAGGCTGGGCTGAGAGTCTGTGAGTGGCGCAAAGTCACCCATTTGGCTCCATGGCTGAGCGGGGACTAGAACCCAGATCCTCTGAGTCCCAGTCCCGTACTCTTAACCACTACACCACACTGGCTATTTCCTATTGAAAACCAAGCCCCTACACAAATATTTGCATGAAATTATTGCTAGGAAAATCTCTTTTTTACCCCTCATTGCAGCTTAGCTCAGGGAGAACTGATGGGGCAAGAAAAGGGGAATGCCAGATGGTGAAGAGCCGCAGTACTTTGACCCTGTAAGCTCTGAATCTGCTGCATTATTGGGATGGTGTGTTGGAAAGTCACTGCAAAGACTATCCCATGTTCTTCTGGTAGCAAATGAATTGGTCTTTTCTTTGAGTTTATTCCTGGAGTATCTGAAAACACTTGATGGACCTTGGACAGTAGCAAGTATATATCATACAGCAAGATCTGCTGTTGTTAACTATCTTTCTGTACTACCCAATGTATACAACTTCTAGACCACCATAAAACAGAGCCTCCCTGGACAGCTTGCAACATGAAATTAATGGAGCTTCCAACCCCCAGAAGTCTAGCCTAATAAACAACCTGGTTGTGCCCTGTTGTGGCATCTTGCTTCATTGCATTTCGTACAGTGACAATTCGCACTAACCACTAAGAAGAAGCAGTTTGCTTCCCCACATTAGATGTGCGGATTGTAAATGCCAGGGAAGAATAATGAAGAGGTGGGAACTTTATATGGCATAGAATCAATCTGAGAATAGCTGTGAGTATTGTTGCTAAAATAATAAGATATTTATATCTGAAATAATAAGGTAGCCCAACATAAGCTTTTAATTGGCCTATGGATCCTGGCAGAGGGAAATCAGGTTTCCATCAGTGCTACTTGTAACAATAACACTACTGAAGTTTGTGTGTGTGTGTGTGTGTGAGTGCACACATGGTAACAGTCGTGTTTTTTCTTCTTCTTGTGCTGTGAACTCAGTGGCCATGTTCAGATGATAAGCCAGTGAGGAGCCGTGTTTAGCATGTCTGGGACTTGGGAGAGCTGGGTTCTACTCTCCTCTGGGTCATGAAGCTTCACCAGGTGACTTTGGACCGGTCACTGACTCTCAGCCTTGCCTACCTCACAGGGTTGTTGTGAGGACAGAGTGGAGAAGAGGAGTATAAAAGCTGCCCTGGGTTCCTTACTGACATGATATGAATCAGAAATAAGCCGCAGTTGCTTGTGGCCCCTTTGTCCAAGCAAGCAGATGGATCAAGCCTTCTCCTGTGAACTACAGTCTCCCATTTCTTTCATCCAGACCAGGAAGTTTTTGTTGAGGAGTGCAGGAGCTCAGGCCTGGAGGAAAATCCAGCCTCGAATTCCCTAGAATGCCATTTATTTTTCCATTTATTTTTTTTATTTATTTAGGACATGTATAGGCCTCCCATCACTGTCGTCTCTGGACGGCTTACACTTAAAATGCAGTATGGTGGTACTTTTGGCTCTGCCCTTTTGACCTTCAGCCCTCCCCACCCCCTGGACTGGGGCCCCCAGGAGGGTCTCCAAGAGAGTCAGGCCCTGTGCTGGAAGAGGTTCCTCCTCAGGCTGACCTTTGGAGCAAGCCAAGGAGTTGTGTCAGCCCCGGACCACTGCTTTAACGTGGGAGGTAGCCGAGTTCTAGGTTGCAGCGCCACACGAACTCGGCCATGCCAACAAGCGGTAGGCACTTCCTTAGAGTAAGGCGCCAGTGGTGGAACGGCTCCGTAAGCAGTCTGCATTTTCCTTTTGAAGATCGAGGAACTGGAAGAACAATGCAATGAAGTAAATCAGGAGCGAGAGCGGAACGTGCAGCTGAGCAGGCGCCTGCAGGAGCTGGAGACGGAGCTTCAGGACAAGGAGCTGGTATGTGCGGCAGAGAGTGTGAGCGGATGGGGTCGCCCCGGGTCAGCCCACCCAGCACCTTGGGGAGCATCAGCCTGGGGAAAGCTTGCTTGGGGGACCACAGGGCTGGGCAGGAATGATGCCTGGTGTCCTTGCAAAGAATGTGGACTCCCCCCCCCCCCCCCCCCCCCCCCCCCCCCCCCGGTGTCCTAAGAGCTTGTCATCCAGGGGACGGTGCAGAGGATTTCCCACTGGGGAGACTTAGCCACTTTGCAGCGGTTTAATTGTACTTTATTCAGATAAGCCAGGATCAGAAAACAAGCATTGGTTTTGGCTTATTCATTCTATCTAACTTGGGACACTTTTTATTATTGGCTAGAGAAGCGGGGCTTCACATAGATTTAAATATGTTCATAAATTAACATAAAAAGAAAAATGTGGGGGGCTGACCCAGTAGGTCCGATGTTTCCGATGATTGATGTTGTTTTTTAGTTTTTCTTTGCATTAGGTTTATTTAGAATAAAACTTATTAAAAAAAAGATTTTGGCTTATTCAGCCAATGGCTGTGCTTGCTGGGGACAATGAAAGTTGAAGGCCAAGGCATCTGAAGATCCAGGGCAATCTTGATAAACTTGAATACTGGGCTGAAAGCAACAGAACAAGATTCAATAAGGACAAGTGCCAAGTCCTCCACGTAGGAAAAAGAAACCAAATGCATTGATATAAGATGGGGAATACATGGCTCAACAGAACTGATAAAAGAAAAAGACACTGAATTATTGTGGACAACAATAATAGAGCAATAATTGTTGGTTATTTTGAGCCAACAGTGTGATGCAGCTGCAAAAAAGGGCAAATGCGATTTTGGGATGCATTAACAGAAGTATTACTTCCAATTCACAAGAAGTTGTAGTCCCTCATACTCCTCACTAGTCAGACCTCACCTGGAATTCTGTGTCCAGTTCTGGGCACCACAATTTAAGAAAGATGCAGAAAAATTAGAAAGGGTCCAGAAGAGAGCAACAAAACTGATTCAGGGTTTGGAAACACTGATATCAGGAAAAGTTTCCTCACTGTCACAGCGATACGACAGTGGAACCAGCTGCCAGAAGAGTGGTGGGCTCTCCCACACTAGAGACATTCAAGGAGAAACTGGACATTCATCTGAGTGGGATGGTGTGACTTGAACTCCTGCACTGAGCAGAGGCTTCACCCGATGGCCTTCTTGGCCCTTTCCAAATCACAGTAATTCTATGATTCTATGATCTACAAGGCACGTGGCTGGAGCCTTGAGATCCAGCAAGTAGCTGCTTGAGAGGGGAACTCAACTGCAGCACCTAGACTGTAAAAGGCTTTCCTGCAAGGAGCACGCTGGCATATCCCTCCAGTGCCAGGTGATGGCTCTTCTCATTCCCCTGGGCCTTTGAAGGACCCCCGTTGTGGCAGTTGGGGTGGGGGAGGACAAAGGGGGTTAATGGATTTTTTCCTGGCTCTGGAATTTTTAAGACTGGTCTTTCAATTGATTTATATGATATATTTTATTTTTGAAGTATTTTTATGTCTCTCCCCAAAAGAACTAGCAGTCAAACACAGCCCCTGCAGTCTACAGGCCTGCAGTCTTCCTTCCTACAGGCCTTTCCTTCCATTCTCAAGGAAAGGGGGTTGGGAGTTGGATGGCAAGGAAGACATGAATTTTCAGGAGGACTGGTGGAATGGCAGCTTCACCCATCCTCTCCGACTGGGGACAATCCCTGTGGAGCAACCTGTGACGTTTGCTTGACCTTCTCCTGTCTCCTTTGCTCCTCCTGCTTCCCCAGAGGGCAATGGGCATCACTTATTTCCCTGGGGATGTGAGGACGCATCCAAATGGGCCAAGGCTTGACTTGTCCTCAGCTTGTTTCTGTCCCCTCCTCTCAGTCGTGTATTTATAGCTTTGCTACTCAGAGAATCATCCTTATGGGGCAGCAAGATGCATACCATGAACAAATACACCTTTGGCCAAGCTGAGAGGTTGTGGCCAAACCATGGTTTGCAGTGTGTGAATGGACTTGGGCTTGCCCAGTGTTCCCACCCCTTTCTCCATCTTCTGCAGACTGCAGTTTCCTTCCTTTGCTTCCTGGGTTGCGGGAACTCTGTTTATTTGTTTATTCATTTATTTAATATTCTTCTACCCCATCCACGACATCTTGGGATGGCTTACAATAAAGAACAAATAAAATAAGCAAAACACAGCATCTGGCAAGTCAAGATAAAACCCCCAGTAAAACCCAACTAAGCATTAAAATAGTGGGAAAATTAAAAACGCTAGTATTAGTGACATCCAGATGAGGCAAACTGGTGGTGTTGGTCCCTGAACTGGAAGTGGAGGCCATGTTGTAAACATACTTCCCCGATGGATGTGTTAGTAAACTGTAGTTACTGCAAACTAGAGATGGGGAAAGGAGGGCACATGTATGCCCAAAGACTATATTTGATGAGCAAACCAAGATTTGGCCTTGCCAGTTTCCTCTTGGAAATCAGGAGGGAGAGTTAATTTTATCACTGCAGCTGCAGATGGACCCGTGTGTCTGTTTGATCTTGCCTTTAATATCCTGCTCTGACTTGGACTGATGCTAACAGCACAGAAGCCAAAGCATTTTTCAGGGATGACACGGCTAAGGCTCTTAACAGCCAGGCCTGTTAAAAGAGCTTCAAGTGCATGGAAATAGTTCTGGGTGATGGATTTTGATGCACAGTTCCAAATGTCTTTCGGCAGCATGCCTCAAAGAGAAAAGCCGTGCTTTCTTCTCAACCCTTTCTACGGGTAATAGCATTCATAATGAGATGCATTTTGTAACTTTCAAGATTCCAACTCAGCCAGAAAATGGACTCATTAATATTACACATTTCATCCCCGCTTGTTGTAAAGGGGCTGCCCTGCTTTGCTTTCCGACAGACTTTTACATTACCAGACCTCTGATTAGTGCAAAACAACTCAGACGTCTTGGGTTGCAGGACAGGCCGGCGTGAGGGCTGCTCACATGTGGGGCACCATGGAAGGGACACCTTTGAAATCTGTGCACTTTGAGAAGCACTAAAAGGCCAGAAGAAGGCAAGAGGGAAGGACATATTTTAAAATGCAGTCGCACTGCTCCTCAGACCAGAGACTTCTGCTTGCGGTAGAAGTCTCTGCTTGCGGCAGCAGGAGGTCCACCCCTGACAGCCGTGGAGATCTTCTCCAGCAAACCGTTGGCTGGTTCTGCCCTCTTGGATAGTGCTGATCATGTATTGTGGAAGTGGGTATGGACTGGATTCCAGACAGGGGAAGGACACCATCAGAACTGGCGGTCCTGATGGCCTCTTTCTGATGGACATAAGAGTGGTAGATGTAGAGAATTCTGCCAACTCTTGGTCAGGTCTGTATCGCTTGCCTAGGGTACTGTCTAGAGAAGGACCATCAATTGGCCTTCCTGTTTGGGTTCAGAGCCTTCCCTTGTAGTATATGTTTTCTGTTAATATTTCAATACATTTCTCTCCTGTGCAAAATAAGAGTTTTTATGTGTAGGCGTACCTGTATATTCTGATGACTTAATAAAGCAAAAACTAGCATTGATTCTCAGAGCTGGATTCTGCCAGGGCTGGGATGAAGCACAGAAAAAAGCCGGGTATAACTTTGAGATATTTATTTATTCATTGATTCATTTACTGTAGTTATATGCTGCCCTGTAGCCCAAAGGACTCTCTGGGGAGCTTAAAATAAAACCCAATCAGAAAACAATATGAACACAAAGCAGACACCAGCACAACCTTATAATTTGGTGAGGGAACTCTTGCTTCCCTGTGGCAGTGCAAATATGGTTTCGTTCATCTCCACCACTGCCACTAATCTAACGTGATCGTGTTGTCCAAAATCAGTTCCTGCAGGTTAGCCCGTGCCCTTTGAATGTGCTCTTTTATTTAATTGCCTTATTGGCATATGTAACCTATATATTTTTCTCTGGCTTTCTCTAGGAATTAGAGGATCTTCGGAAACAAGGTGAAATCATACCGCAGCTCATGACAGAATGTGAAACGGTGTCTCAGAAATTGCAGGTATCCGTGTGTATTAGCATGAAATAGACCTACTCAGTGAAGATAATGAAATTTGCTCACACTGAGAGTCAAAGCAATGGGAGGGTAACTGCAGCATTTTCCTTCCATTTACAAATGCAAGTCACATTCATCGTTCCGTCACTCCCATTGAGATAATCTCAAAACAGGCAGAAGGCATTAAAGCTCCTTTGCTACTCATGGAAAGCCATCTCTATAAGAATGACTCGATATAATGGTCTCCTTGTGCAGGACTGATCCTGTTCTGAGGCACACTGAAGCAGTTGCTGCCGGTCACAGATTCTGGATAGAATAGACAGGGCAGGATGGGATAGACAGGGCAGAAAACTGGTCGGCTGTTTAATGCATTGCTCTCTCCAATAATGAACTGAGCTGGAACTGCCCGTGATTTTGTAGGCACAACTGGGCCGCTAAGAAACAGGAGGGAGGTATTGGTATGCTCAGAAGAACTCCAAACGTAGTCAACTTACCTGAAGTCTTTAGGAGCAAAAAGGAAGGGGAGGAAGCTTTAAAACAAACATACAAGTGGTATAGCTCCGTGAGGACTTGAATATGCTCAGGAACCATAAAAAACAGAGTGACTGTCAGAAAAGAAGAAGAAACAGGCCATGGGATGGAAAAGAATGGGTGCTGTTTGGTGGGAATGTCAGGCAGGGAATGTGAGCAGGAATGGGTGGGATAGCTAATATCCTGGAAGTCAGAAAGAAGTGCTAAGCTGAAAACAACAGCATGAAATTCATTCAGGACAAATGCCAAGTTCTGCACCCAGGAAAAAGAAACCAAATGCATTGTTTTTTGGCTCAACAATCCTGCAAGTGAGAAGGATCTTGGAACTGTTGTAGATCACAAACTAAGTATGAGTCAACAATGTGATGTGGCTGCAAAAAGAGCAAATGCTATTTTAGGCTGCATTAATAGAAATATTACTTCCGAATCGCATGAACTACTAGTTCCCCTTTACTCAACAACAGTTAGGTCCCATCTGGAGTTCTGTGTCCAGTTCTGGACACCACACTGGAAGAAAGGTGCAGACAAGCTGGAAAGGGTTCAGGGGAGGGAAACAAGGATGATCCAGGGACTAGAAATAAAGCCCTGTGAGGAAAGATTGAAAAAGTTGGGCATGCCTAGCCATGAGAAAAGAAGGGGGATATGATAGCATCCTACAAGTACCTGAAAGGCTGTCACAAAGAAGGAGGACAGAATTTCTTCTCAAACATTCCAGAGTGCAGGACATGGATTAATGGAGTCATGTAGAAGGAAGCCATATTCCAGCTAAATAGATTTCCAGAGTAAAGTAGGATTACATCTGGGACACTGTTCTGTCAAGCTAAGTTTGAGGATTGGAGAAGCAGGTTCTAATCCACCGGAGATGATGTTAACTACACATTCTGAAAAGGCAATAAACGACAGTAATTCATGGAGAACAAAGTGTATAACTTCCATTCAAATGTAAAATGCAGCCCAGACTGACACAGTTGAATTCCAAGAGTCTCTTCCGCTAAATCTATATCCTTTTGCATACTTGTCAGATTAAAATAGCATTTCCCTTGACAAAATTTGCTGGAAGATGTGCTAGTAATGGACACCATAATGGAAATGTAGCGTAGGGGTGTGTGTGTGTTTGTATTCTTGTAGACATTATTGTTTAAAAAGTCTTCTTTTCTTCAACTTTCTTTTTAAGGCTGCTGAGAAGAGGAATAAAGACCTTGAGGAGAAAGTCAGAGCTCTGAGGATAGAGGTTGAAGAGAGCAAACACAGACAAAACAACCTTAAGACTGAGTTACAGACTTTTTTAGACGTACTAGATGGAAAGATTGATGAATTACATGATTTCCGGCAAGGACTGTCTAAACTAGGGGTTGACAATTAGAGAATAACAACATCTCCCCACCCCAGACTAACATTTAGTGTGTGTGTGTGTGTGTGTGATTTAATTATCAGTGTCTGTGTCAGAAAAAGCAAATATTCTCTTTCTTTGCAATGTGATCTGTACATAGAACTAAGGATTTAACATTTTCCCCTTCCTCTCTTTTTTTTTCTTTCCAAAAATTGCTGCTCAGCTGTTGTTACAGGAAATTTTTTAAGGGCTGCTGCAACCATAGAAACAGGGGAAACACGTCTTTTCCTAATCTTGATTATTGAGCCACATGCGGTTTTATTCCCTTTTTGGGTGGCTGGAGCAGACTGCAGTGAGGATGATACGAGATTCCTGTAGTGTCTCAGAAGGCTTGATAACGTGCACCTGGGAGCAGCCTTTGGCAAACAGGGAGGCAAGACTGCAGCCCAGGTGCTCTTAGTCATAGGAATGAAACATGCATGTTTTGTTCCAAGATGCTCCAAATGGTCTTTGTATACCTGTAGGGCCTTTTCATTCAGGATTTGCCATGCTCAGTAGCATACACTTTAAAAACCAGTGTATCGATTGCGATGTTTCCAGTGGTTCCTTTACCTTCAGATAAAATGGTTGTGTACTTTATGCAAAACTAATCAATAATTTATCCTATGAGGGTTTTTAAAAATGCATATGATCTGCAGTAGCCATCCTAAGCTCTGAAAATGGGCACAACTCCCAGATCCGCTCCCAGAGCAAAGGGTTAACAAATTTTGAGCAGCAGCGATCTATCAAAGGAAGACAGAGCACAGTTTTTACATGCAGGAGAGATATACCGTATATATTTGTGTGTGTGTATTTGAGGCAATTACTATGTTACCAACCATCTGTTACAATAAACATAACAAATTGACATGTGAGGCGAGATAACAGGACAGATAGATAGATATTGTTTTGAGTGCTGCCCAAAGTTTAAGAAATAACAATTTGGGATGCCAAATTTATAATAGGTATCCTAAATATAAGTGCCGGATGAAGGTGGAAATCAGAATGGCCAGCAGGTCAGGATGGGAAGTGAAGGTCAGGCAAGGGGTTGTGGGGGTGGCGTTGCCAGCTCTAACTGGGATTTTGCCTCCGGTGTTTCAGAAACTGAGTACCACTTCAGGCAGGTCGGGCGGTATCCGTCCTGGAATCACACAAAGGATGGCCTCAGCATAGGCAACATCACCCAAGATGGGAAGTGTTGGGGTGCCCAGCTAGTTAGAAGGATCCTGCTCTGTCCAACAAGCTCTGCTTCCTAAATCTAGATGCACCAAGGCTGATCACGGTCTTAATGGGATGAAAAGTCAACTGCTCATCCCATGATCCTGCATTCGGAACAGCAGGAAAAAATGGTCCCAGGGCAGGAGGCTGTCTCAGACCAAGCCTTACACTGAGTTCTATCAAAGTGGCTTTTCAAATATCACCTCTCAGTTGTAGCAACAATAGCTTGTTTTTAGTATTGCCCAGTTTCTGAATCCAGGTCTTCTGCCCTTCATGCCCAGGTGTGGGGGCACCTGTGTGCACAGAGCACATCCTACCTCCTTGTGAACCGGTTTCCCTTCCATTTGCTGTCCTGCGCATTATGTCCCTGGTGCCTCTGGGAGTCGGTCTCTTTGTTTATAGCTCGCTTGCACGCGCGCTCTCTCCCCCCACCCCATAGGGGTGCTTGTGTGCACATATGATTCCTTAGGTGTGGAATTCATTCTTTGTTCATGATCATAATAATCCTTTAATTGAAAAGTACAACCTAACATAAATCACTCTCTTTAAGCCACAGGTGGCTCTTGGCTGTCCTTTTCTTTCACCTTGTAAGGTATAAAAGACGAGAATTAGAGGTTTCAGTGACAGCATTGATTCTTACAAGGAGAACCAGTGAAGCAGAAGCTTTAATCTGTTTCCACAGATGCTTGCTACACTTTCTTAGTCACTAAATACATTAATTTTGCCTTATCCGCCAGCAAATGAGTCACCTCCGTTTTGCAGTTGTGTGTGCGTGCGTGCACATCCATGCATGCGTTTGCACGCATCTTTACTGGGATATGGACGGGGTGGCAGGGATGGAACCTCTTGCTGTGACTGGATGAGCTGCTCAGATTCTAGACTGGATCCGGACTGTCCAGTAGGCCTGGGGAATCTGGCAGGGGCATACGAAGGCAGCAGGCCAAGAGAAGAGAGCAAGGCCTAGAGAGGAGAGATGGACAGCAAACGCTCCCAAGAGGCCTAGGAGGGAGAAGGGAGGCGCTAAAAACCAGGATCTGTGTAGGGATGGAGAGCTCCTATGTAGATTTCAGATAGACTTGACCTGCATCCTTTTTGACCTGCGAAGTCTCTCCCATTCTTGTCTCTCGAAACATCCTGCCCTCCGTGCCTTTAATCTGAAATGGTTGCTGCTTGGAGCTCCTCCACACAAAAGCTCTCCTGTCCTGGCCCACTTTACAGCGTCCTGGCTGGTGTCCGAGTGCCACTTGGCTCAGAGGTGGCTGGAGAAGCAGCGCTGGTGCCTGCCTGCCTGCCTGCCTGCCTCTCTTTTTTCACCTGTCAGGTGAGCTAGCCACGCTGGGCTAAGCTGAAGCCATGTGAAGGAAAACAGGGCCATATGAGTCAGGGCTGAAATATCTGCCCCACCTCTGCCATCTGCTTAGCTTCTGCCACTGAAATACAGAAACAGGTATTTGCAGGTAGCAACTGCCTTGACATTTTAAAATGCATATGAATGCTGTACAAACTTATAGCCACCATAAATAACACCAAGGCTGCCTTACTGTCTTGTCTTGTCTTTGTTGGGGGAGACCCCTTTTAACAGTCCATGTTTTTATCCCCTCCAAAACCCCTTTCTCAATTTGCTGTCTGCTGATCTGGTATTACATGGTGAAATGCAGTATCTGGACTCCCGCAAGGAGGGGCCATGTGCTGATCCCACTGACTGATGACCTGTCTGTGCTTTCTTTCCCGGATACAGGTCTGTCCTAATAGCAGTTGTAAGATCTCTGTGGGGTGACTATTCATTAGAGAAGGCCAAAGTTGTACGGGCCATCGGTGGTGAAGCACCTACCTGCTTTGCACGCAACAGTTCTCAGGTTCAGCCCCTGGGATTTCCAGTGAAAGGGATGAGGGGATGGGATATTCTCTCCTTGAGATCCTAGAAATGCTGGTGAAAATAAACTTTGATGAGCTAAATGGAGAGACCAGCTAGGAAGTACCTTTCATTACTGTGCTTCGTGTGCTGGACAGAACGCCTAAGTGATCTGATGTGGTCAGATTGTTTTTAAGCCACAATAACTGAATGGGTTTGCCCCTTGTCTTTTAAAAAGTGTAAGATTGTGTCCATGTTCTAATGTAGCACGACTCTGGACCTAATACTCTCGGCCCAGCCATGACCAAGTTAATATCCTCCGTAATTATGATGCTGCCCTTGGCTGGCACAGGCTGGGGCAGAACCTCTGTCTTACCTTTTTGCAGCTTTCTTCACAAGAAGGGCAAAGAGGACGAAGTAGCAACATGGAGAAATGTGGGAAGAGAAAGGAAGGCAAAGGTGGGGAGGGGGAATGAGAGCAGAAGGGTGGATAGGCGGAAGCTCACACATGGGGTATCTCCCTCCTTAAGTGCTTCCCTTCATTTAAATGGCTGGAGCCGTTTAACATGCGCAAAGATGCTTCCTTGGAGTAGCTCCTTCAAACAGGCAAAGCGAACTGTCTTGGGGAGCTCCTTATGTGTACTGGAGCACACACACACGTATGTTTGGATCTGGGAAGATGAGCGCCCCAATGGTGCCTTCGTTATCTCATAAGCATCTGCGCGTCTTGTCCCTGGTTATGTCTCCTTTGGAGAACTCTGGCCTCTTGTTCTTGCACTTTTGCTATTTCATGGAACTTTTCTAAATTTGACTGAACTGTTTTAAATGAACAAGCTGTTCAAATCTCAATCTCTCCCTTTTTCCCTTGCTTAAAAATTACTGGGTACACTTTTTTTTTTTTAATCTGAGTGAACTCTTTACAAAGTACACCAAACTGGAGCCAAAGAAATATTTTCAATAGGCAATTTGACATGCTCAAATGAAACAGTTCTTCTCTTGGACCATCTTAGAACTTCCTGTATGATCTGGTTACCGGAGTCATACATGTAACGGCATGTTCCACTGTTAAGCAGTTTTAGGCTTTTGTTGTTTGTTGTCATTTGTATTCACTTTAGGATGTAAAATACGGGATGGGTTGTTGAAATCACAGGTCTTACACTCAGGTGTGTAAATAGCCTTTCACTGGGTCACCTGCTGCAAAGTAGAGATACTATTTCTAGGTGACAAGGTGGGGAAACTTTTGTGGTTCTGGAATTTTAGTTTATATATACCTATTGTGGGTGTGAGTGCAAGCAGGCTAATAGGAACGGTTAATGCTTGCAGTTTTGAGAAACTAATTTAAAAGATTAACTTTAAACATTGTATAGTGTATTTGGTAGTAATAAGTTGAGTGTCAACGGTACAATAAGGCATCCGTTAAAGAATATTAACCAAGCGCTTTGCGTAAATATTCTGTCAGTAGAGAGAGGACTAACACCTAGGTTGCTCAGTTCTTCTGAGGAATTTATAGAGTATCCAGTTGGACACTTTATTGTGATCAATAAAGTGGCAAGAATCAGCTTGAAAAACATCAAGGTGCCTATACATCCAAAAATGTTTATATGCATATTTGCAAACTGTTCCGCCTCCTTTTTCTTTCTTTCTTTTACTGGATTGGTTCCTTGTACTGCTTTGATCAGTTACCTCCCTGGTCTTAAGGAGTTTGAGCCAATCAATCTGTACATGCAGATGAATCACATGCTAGTGAATTCTTGAGATTGTAATTGTTTACCTGTTTTACTTATAGTCCCTCTTTTGTCTAAGGAGGCAGGTACAGTCCGTGCTTCCCCCTTTCACTGCCACGATAACGCTGTGAAGGGAGTGAGGCTGAGAGCCAGCGACTGGTCCAGAGTCACCCAGTGAGCTTCATGGCCAAGTGAGGACTAGAAGCCGGGTCTCCTCAGTCCTAGTCCATCACTGTAACCACTCTGCAATATTGTCTCTCCAACGTTATACCATCTCAGACTGCAAGTGGGTGGTGGAGCTCTAGTTTTAAAAAACCTTTCCCCCCACAGCGCTGCACACATAGAAGATGTGTGCGCATTGGGCAGAACGTTCTGCTTCTCCTGTCACTGCTAATGCTGTGGGTCAGTGAACTTAACACGGGAGAGGAGTAAATATGGGGACTGCGTATGAGGAATGTCACAGCCATGGTTGGGCGTGCTACTGTCCCGGCCACACCATGCCATGTGACTGGCCTGCATGTGCAGGTTGCCCTGTTTACTTGGTGTACAGGGGTGCAGGTGCCCCTTAACTCAGTGACACTTGCACAGAGTGTGCTTAGGGCCTTAGCCGGAGGGCCAAAACGTGTGAATCGCTGCGGCAGGGCAAGAAGTGAAAGCCACCTGTCTGTGGCCCTCTCTCGTGGTGATGACTTCGCCACTAAATAAGAACTCTTTCTCTTCCTCACAGGGGGAATTAGTGGATGATGAGAACTTTGGCTGCAGTTCACAAGAGAACTGTCTGCAGTGCTGGGACCGGTTTTGCGTAGGGAACTGGGTAGCTGGGGCCACCTGCTTTCACCCCAGTTCAATCCCTGGTACCTCCAAGCAGGGTTAGAAGAGAACCCACCTGAAGCCCCGCTGTCCATTGATGTCGAACAATACTGGGCCAGATGGACCAATGGTCCAAGTCATGGCAGCTTTCGAAGTTCTGCATAAGCTAAATAATTTGAAGTGTGTTGCTTAACCTGGTGAATAAAACCCAGGGAGAATTGGTCTGCATATTGCAGATAGGCGAGTACAGCAGAGCACACCTTGTCTGTGTTGATCTGGGTCTGAATCCAGGGGCTGCCTGATGCAGCAGCTTGTCTGTTCGGCAGCCATTTAATTGATTAGATTTCCTCCAAGTGCTGATGGTGGAGGCTGAGGGGACTTAATCTGGTGGTAGGCAGCATGCAAGTGGACTGTAGCTGCCATCTTTGTGCCTGGCAAAGTTGAGCTGTTCCAGGACACTGTCGTGGGGAAAGGGTTGCAGCCATAAATACAAGGTGGCCATGCGGTATGTTCCAGCGTTTATTTTGGGTAGCCTGTCTCATCTTCCTGGGATTTTGGAGAGCTTCCTATATGCACTTGACAAAGATTAGATTAATTCCTGCAAGGGTAACCACAGCTGTCGCCATCCTTATCTTAAAGGACTGAGATGTTTGGCTCTGAGCCAAAGCAGAATTTCTTAGAAATAACGTGGGGGTTGTAGTTGATGGGAACAATTATATAGCCATAATTTAATATAGAATTGGCATGCTTCAGCTCCCTGGATTTGGATTGCCTTAGGCAGAGCTGTTGGACGTCCGGCCTGCAGTGCCAGTTTGGCAAAACCCCTTCCCCTCCAAGTCACCGAGAGTTTGGTGTTTTCCCAAACTCTGTGCAGCTTTTTCACCATTCTAGAAAGTTGAAATGCCTCCTCCCAGCTACTGACAATCAGAGTCTGAAGCTATGCGTAAGTTGCACTGGCACCTTGGCCCTGGCTTTCTTCCCCCTTTGCCCCACCACCCAGAAGCTTCTCTGAAATTGCGTTCGACCTTCGGGCTGGAAGGGGTCCAACAGCCTGGCCTTGAGGGGGCTGCCAGCGCGTGAGCGCCGGCCTCGACTTTAGGAACTGCCATGCAAGCTGCAGCTTTTGACTGCACGTATCCTCTGAGTACTTGCGGGGAAGTGCTCACCTGCATTTTGTTTTCTGTCACTGGTGAGCAATAATTTTGTTTAACCATCTGGCAGCTGACAAAAAAATATTGTCTGCCTTGCCTCAAAAGCAACAAACTGGTTTCCTATGACTTACACAATGTCTACAAGTGTGCATGTGTGCGTGCATACGTACATACGTGTGTACATGCGTGCCTTGGCGTGAGGGGAAGTCAACAATGCTGAAAAAGCAGCATCTAGAATTTTAATTTAGTCATGCTGAAAAAGCATTATCTAGAATTTTATTTTAGTCCTTTGGTATACGCCAAAGCTTCATTTTCATGTAGAGCACACCATTGTCAAAACACCGAAAGAAATCCCTCTCCCATAGTCCACAAAATAGAAAAGTATTTTAAGTGTGATACTTTTAAATGTTTTAAAATATGATGCACCTTTTGTAATAAATTTGCAAGGTGCGGTTACTTTTCTAAGTAAGTTTTAATGAATGATGAATTAACTAATTTTGAGAGTGTGGGAAAATACTGCAGCAGCTTAAAATGTATATTTTTATTCAGATATAAAATACAGTCAATCAACCTGAACAAATTATTGCTGGTTGACTGGTGTGAAATTGTCTTACTTTGTTACTTGTCTGCTGTGAGCAAGTATTTTTCAATTTCCACCCCTCTTCCATGTTACTGAATATTGAGCAAATGTTAATATTTGGAATATTAATAGAAAATAATTAGAAAATAAATATCTTCTGGTAGCACTAAATATGATGGGGTTTTATATATTTGACAAAGCAAAATGTAATTTTTTCTTTAAGAGACTTTTGTGATTTTTATCTGATTTTATTGTATTATAGAATTGTCTATGTAAAATATATATAGTTTTAAGTTTAAAAAAAACAAACAAGCAAAACAAAACAAAAACTTGTGTCTTGGTTGTCTCCTGCTTGGATAAACTTTCAGTTCTTGTTTGTGTTCAAACTTGGATTTCCCCCTGTTTTAAAATAAAATATCCAAACTGGATTCGAATATCTGCCTTGATGCAGAGCACATCTTAAATAAGTGAGACTCCTGCAATATGTCATGGAAGATATTAGCCGCAGTAAATGGTGCCTTCTGTGGGTCAGGAAACAACTGTGGGAGAGAGCGTTGACTGGGGCTGCCTGTTCTCCATCCCTGTTGTACGGCACCCCATTAAAAGACAAATGGTGCGCTGCCTGGACCGCACTGGAATCGGGAAATGTGGAGCTCGCAGGCTTTGATGTGCCTCAGAAAACCTTAGATGTGTCTGCCCGCGTGTCCTTCCACTGTTTTAACAGCTCTAATTTTTAAAGAAATAGTTCTGATTGTTCAAACTGTATTAACTTTTGTATACTGGAATTTTACACTGCATTTTTTCTATTTGTTTTTATTGTAACTATTTTTACCGTTGTGTCTGTGCTTATGAATTGCTGTAAATTCTCCAGACAGTTTTGGGTTTTGGACAGTGTAGAAATGCAGCTGGAGTGAATAGCAGCAGCAGCAGCAGCAGCAGCAGCAACTTCGAAGCAAAGTGAGGGCATTCAGCCACGCTTAAATTAATTGCCCATAAATGCCTCTGGATGGGACTTGGAGTCCTTTTGAGGGGCAGAAAACAGGGTTCAAAGAAGTTGTTCAAGTGTTGGGGCTCAGACCATTCCTATGCTGTGTCTTTTAGGCAGTTTACCTTCTTTTGTGACTAGCCACACCTCTCATGGCAGCCATTTTGGGATGGTGCCTGTAGTTTCTGAAATGGCCGAATGTGGCCACTGGTCCAAAAATTGCCCATCTCTGGCTGAAGAGTTCAAAGGAGTAGCAGGTACATTGCTGCTGAAGATGGAATCCCACTTAATCTAATGATGTCCACAGAAGAATTGTCAGAAGGCAGGGGGCAGTTTCAGAGGTGAGTGCCAGATGTTTCTGTTTCATTTCCCGCCCTGCCCTTCCTCCAAGGAGCTCAGGAGAACACGCTTGGTTCTTCCCCCCTTTATCTTCAGAACCTCCCTGTGAAGTGGGTTGGGTTTAAAGAGGCTTGTTGTTCGTGGCAAAGTGGGGCACCTCTCCCTAGTTCTAGTCCAACCCATTAATGCCGCCTTCCTCAACCCTGGAGCCCTCCAGATCCCTGGAATGCACGTGCTCCAGTCGGCATGGTGTCTAGGTGCGCTATTCCTGTTTGTGCACATTAAGCTCATGGGCATGCTTGGCGGGCAGAGGGAATTGCAGTCGGAGGCTTCGGCTTGGCCTTGCCCAGCAAGGATGCCTTCTTCATGCATCGTAGGACCAGCCCCTTCGCCACAGGGCTGCAGGCCTAGTAACATCAAGGAGGGGCTGCTTGGGCTCGGTCTGGAAACCGTGCCTGGGGCAGGTATCAAAGTGGTGATAAAGGCAGCCATTAAGACAGCCATAAATAGAACAAGAAAGCAGCAGGGGCACAAATTAATCAGCAATAAAACCACTCGCTCTTCTGCAAGCTGCAAATCATGGCTGGCTGGGGGGAAGGCCAGTATAAAGAGGTTATTTCTGAGGACGATGTCCAAGTGCCGGAGCGCTGGGGGACTGGTCTGAGATCCGCGGGCAAAGTGTGCCGAGCACCAAGCGCTCTGCTGTGATGCCCCTTGGGAACATGTGGGGCCCTTGGAAGTGCTCCCTCCTAGGATCGCAGAGGCCGGACTGGGACGGCAGGGCTGACTCGCTTAGGACTTTGCGTGTTAAGAACAGCACCTTGAACGCAGCCCAGAAGTGGACTGGCAGCAGGCGCCATTCTTTCAGCCAGAAGCGCCGCTTGGAGACGAAGGCCCCACTAGCAGCCTCGCTGCTGCACCAGCCACAGCTTCCAGATGAAGCCCAAGGAGCCCTTGTGCAGAGCATGTGAGAGCAACCCAGTGCTGAGGTTACCTGTGCCGCTGTGACTGAGCTGAGCATCTTGAACTGTAATGCGGCTGGAAGCCATCCTTGCTGGCCGCAGCCCAGGTACAGCCTCAGATCCCGGTTCCCTCGGGGTCCACAGCCCCCGCTCCACTGTTCACTCTCCTTTGCTCCACGCCTGGCAAGTTCAGCCATAGGAGCAGTTGCCCGGCCAGCACCCCAGAAGGCACTCGTGGGAAGAGGGGGCGCTGCTCCTCTCGAGCTCTCTCTCCTCCGCTGCCAAGGGTTCTTTCCTCCAAGTGTCCCTGTGCCAAGGAGATGGGGAGGGGGGTTAAATGGCACTGGCGTTCCAGCGGGATGGCTCTGCTGGAGGAGCCCAGGCAACTGCTGTTGCTATGGATACCATGCGGGCTCCACGATGGTGGGCCTACAGGAACATTTCTGAAACGGGCTCCTAATTATAGTTTGCCTCATCGCCCACTTGAAACAAAGACAGCTCAAGGAAGTTTGTCAAAATGCTTTACTTTTATATACAGCTTGGAAGTGGAAGCAGAAGAGAACGCAGGCCCCGATCCTTGCACTCTCAAATATGTGCATGCCCTTAATGAGGCATATTATTATGCCTCATAATTTATGAGGCTTCACAACCAGGTGGGACACACGTTTTATGCCCTACACAATATATCTGGACATGTATTTCATTCAGATCTGCTCCTGTCCTTCGAAACTAAAAAAAGAAATTGATGGTAGGTGTCTTAAGAACATGATGGTGTTTTGTTAAGTTCTAAATTTTCAAAAAGGCACTTACTTTCTTGAAGCTCTGGCAACATGCCAAAAAGTTTGACTTGGTTTTTAATAATTATACCCCTAAGCCATCACATTAAAACAGAAAGAAAATCTCTGGATATATTATAGAAGCAAAAACAAGCAAGTTAAACATTGATGAAAGCTTGTTTAAAAGGTGGATTAACCACTGACTACAGTTGTTAAAGCAGGTTTAGTTCCTGCCACTGTCTCTTCTGGGGGAAGCCTGAATCCCATAGTCACTTGCAAATTGCCACTACAGCCTTGCTGAGAACTTATCCTTGCGTAAGCCCTTGTTGCACCTTGAGTAGGCCTTGTCCTTGACTAAGCATGCATGGGACCAGGCTGCATAAACTGAACGTCTTCCCATGAGGAAAAAGTCCCTCTAAAAGAACAACCACTCTAATAAAAAGCAAGCCTTTAATACATACATACATACATATGGTTAGTTGTTATCACCTGAGTCTGGCCCATTTTTCCCAGATAATGTTACAGTAACTCCAACAGTACAGTCCTACCCATGTTTACTCAGAAGTAAATCCTATCAAACTTAATGAATCTTACTTCCAGGTACATGCATATAGGATTGCTCTTCTGTTTAGTGGTTTGTTTAAAAACAAAACCCTCCAGGAAACAACTTTGGAGTTGCTCTTCTGGAAGTGTTTCTCGCCCGCACAACCTGATTCTGATTTTAACTGGCTTATCAAGAGAGAGGTAGGTGTGAAGAGCAACATGAGGGACACGGAACAGATGTTGCTACCTTGGTACTTGAGCCTGGGAAAGGGGCCAGTGGATGAGAGTAGGTTCCAGCTGTAAGTGCGTAACAAGGCAGGGACTGTTGGTTCCCGGACTGACAAGCTCAAACGCTCTTCCTCCTGCTCTTCCTTCCTGTGGCTGGTCTGGGTGATCCTGTTTTGTCCCTTGCTGACCTGTGAATCATTTGTGCTTCCCACTCCATGGTAATGGGACTGTTTTTACCCTGTGAATCGTATGCATTCACAGAATTAAAATCAGATCCGAATGTTGGAGTTGAAGGCACTTTGGACGTCACTGAGACAAACACACCAGCTTGGTGCAGCGTCTGCAGTGCCGGATGCAGCTGTAGCATCACTGTTAGATGGCATCCAGCCTATGATTAAACGTATCTCGTGAAGAGAGCACACTGCCTTCCCAGACAGTCTGTTCCACGGGTAAGAAGGCTCTCCTCTTTAGCCTGAATCCTCTTCCTTGCCATTTCCACCCATTAATTCTACTCTGGGCCTTCTGGCACAACAAGCAACGTGTTCTTGAGGGCCAGGAGGCTGAGCTGAATGCCTCAATCAGCAGATTTAAGGAAGCAAATCTGATGTCGAATGTGTTATCATTGCATTTTTACTGATAGGGATTCACAGAAATGTTTCTGAAATTTTTTGTGCTGTGGACCAAAATAATTTGGCTGGCTTTGCCCATCAACTTTGTTTCTTTGAGTTGTACCCCAAGAAAAAAGGCATCCAAGGATGGCTTATAATCCTAAAAAAATGAAAATGATAATTCAGATCCTTCAGATACAATGAAAATGGCATTCAACAGCCCTGCCTGGTTAGGTAGATGCTTTATTTATGTTTTTATTATATTTATATGCTGCCCTATAGCCTGGAGGTTCTCTGGGTGACTTACAATAAAAACCATGGACCACCAACATAAATTAAAACAATAAAATATGCAGAATAAAATCCAAGATTATATAATATACACAGCAGAAAAACGTAACAAGCAGGCAGTAAATAACAACAGGATAAAACCAGAGTAGCTCCTAAGAACAAGTGTTGAATAAAAACACCTTTAATGTGGCAGTGAAAAGGGTTAGCGAAAGGGTAACGCAGCAAAGGTGCCAGGTGCACCTCCTCGGGAAGAGCATTCCACAGGTGGGGGGCAATGTGGGGAGGGCCCTCCCCCTCACGCCATATGGGGGGGGGGGGGCTCAGGGAGAAGGGCCTCCGCTGAGGATCTTAGCCGTCCGGTACCGTGACTGAGCTTCGGGCTGCTGTTGAGTGCTGTTGTTCACATGGGACTCGATGAACCTTCGCAAGCAGGAGAGGGAGGCCCATGCCAGCAAAGACAATGACGACGACGGACTGGCAAAGGCAGCGAGCGATGAAGGCGAGGGACTCCTCCTGGAGCTCAGCATGTTCAGAAGGACCCCCTGGCATTAGCACAGTGTGGAGATGGCACCTGCCACCTTTGTTCCCACCAGAGTACAGTCCCTTGCCCGGGGACCACCTGCCCCCAGGCCTAAGACAAAGCGGCCCCGAGTACTATGGCTCAGGCTGGAATTTGAACCCAGGCCTATTTCTTTGCATGTGTGAAGCGCACCCTCTCCTGATGGGATTGAGGAAGGCTTGCTACCAGGGGTGAGCCACGGGTTCAGTCCAGCTTCCACACCTGCAAGGAACTGCTCAGTTTGAGTGACTCCTCTTCTGGCGTCAGTGCTGTGATTGGGAAATATCTTGGACAACTTGACTGAACAGATGGTCCGGAAAGGGATGCTGGCTGGCTGGCTGGCTGGCTGGCTGGCTGTCTCTCTCTCTCCTCCCCCCGCGCACCACACTCCCTCCTTCTAGCAGTCCCCTTCAAATAGCCTCTTAACTTGTATTTCAGAAACATTTCAGTAATTCCTGTGATTTGGCTATTCAGAATCACCTTAGAGGAGACTCTGCAGCAGAGCACCTGCTTTTCCAGCTGAAAGCCCCGGGTTCCATTCCTGGCTTCTCTAGATGTGGCCGTGAGAGGCTTGTGTCTGGAATCCTGAACAGCTATTTCCAGCTGGTGGAGCTCAGGGGTGGCCAGCTTCTGGGTGCTGGCAGGCCAGGTCCTCCCCAGAACCCACTGGTGCCTGCGTCCCCTGCAGTCCAGGCGGACCTGCCCTACTGCCAACACGCCACGCTGCAACAAGGCTCAGTGAGGGAGCCGGTGGGCTGGCTCAGCAGGTTCCTACAGCCAAGCCCTTTCATCTCCCGGAAGGGTGCTGCTGTGGGTTCCCATGCCACCTGGCAGTTTGGCCGATGCCTCTCTGAACAGCCTGGGTGCAAGTGCACTTTTCCTGAGGAATTCCCTGCCCTTTTGCTTTGAGAAAATGGGTGACGGCTCCTGCTTTTAATATAACATTCATCTTTAGGCTAATGCTACTGTAATGCTCCACATTACAGTAGCATTAGAGGTTTTAGCTGGACTGTTGCAGAATCCACAGGTTAAAGTCCCAGAAATTTGAACTTAAAGCCATCGCTAATTTCTCCAACATCCCACACTATAGATTTAACTTTACTTTGTTGGTGCTCTTACTGATAGGGTGCTTTGGGACCCAATTCTGGGGATCAAAAGTGAGATAGAAATGCATGAAATAAAGTAATAATCTAAGGCTAACATGCAACCATCTATCTGTGTCCCTGAAATACTCCTGCTCTGGAATCCAGTTTAGGTTTCTCTGTTTAATTGGACATCCAGCATCAATTTAATTGCTTTTCTGGAGCAAATATTTACATTGTGAAATGTGTATCCAGGTGGATTGTGGTGCACCTTCTAAAGATATAGAACAGCTTTCTGCCCGCTGCTCAAATGAAATTCTCCTTTTCCCTTCTCTGGCCTGTCAGTTATCCTCATCTAAGATTAAACTGGCACTTATGTGTGGGGCTTGCCAGTGGTGGCAATGCAACAGTTTGTTCTGTGTGTGCCATCTCATTTTGCTTTTATGGGTTTCCGTGAAACAATGAAACAATCTGCCTCTTTTTGTCATCAATGCATCAGCCTCATGATATATGAGGGTCCTTGTGAGGATAGAAAGGAGAAGCAACCCTTGCAAGCTACTTTGCTACACTGTTAAGAGCTTCATTTTTTTAAAAAGATGAGGCCGGCCAAGTTCTGGGTGACAGCCCAGTGTGGGGAAGAGGTGGCTTTCCGAGGCCACCAACTTGAAACAAATCAACAAGATGGGGGAGTACCCTGAAAAAATAGCAAATCAGAAACGAAAGTTTTCCTGGATTTTCAGATATGGCACTTTATTATGGACAACATAGGAAAGCATTCGATGGATAGGAATAACAACCACCATATCTGGATTTTAAAAAAATAAAGTGCTCATCTAAATATGATATTTTGTTAAGTTTAGAAAGGGAATTTGTGCAGCATTATAGTGCTGAATGGGGAAAGGACTTGTATTAATTTCTGAAGAGATCTAGAAGGATACTTCCTTTCAAATTACATTGTCAAGATTGGTTACATACAAAAGACAGTAACATAAGGCCATTTTAGAGCCTTGTAAGACTTTTAAACAAGTATGGAGAATGTGTTGGACTCCAATTCCTAGTATCCCTGACCATGATGGTTAGAACTGATGGGAGCTGGAGTCCAACATTATCCAGAGGACCACATGTTCTCCATCCCTTTGTAAAAGGATGTAACTTTATTGCTCATACTAGGCAAGAAAGATGCCAACGAAAAAATGCTGCTCATTGGAACTATAAGATATTGTGATGGGATAAAAGAATGCAAGTAAAAGCTTGCTCTTGAAGCCTTCATCTATTGGGTTACAGTTAAATTAAAAATCCTGTGAATTAAAAAGGATGGCAAATTAGTTTAAAGCTTTCTCATGACCACTAAAATTGAAACTTGCAAGCAGATGGGAAACAGCAGAGATGCCAGAAAGGCTAAGTGTGGTACCTCGGAATGTTCCAAGGGAAATGATACCTCTTTCTTTAATACCTCTTTCTTTCTTGGCACACTAGTAAGGTCAGAAGCTTTCATTAAGAGCTCTCACCCCTTTGCCAGAAGAAAGAAATGACAGAATTAGACATTTGCCATGAGGTTTTTGGGTTGCTTATGAATGAGGGTTGATGCCAGATTTGAAAGGCTTTCTCTCAAGTCTGCCCAACACTGAAAAGCAGGCAAGTTGTTTCTCCGCTTAGTCTACCTGGCCGTGGGGCAGCCATGGAGACCGAGACAGAATGTGGCAGCAGGTGAGTGCCACTGGGGTACCAAGGGCCCGTGGCTGGCCCCCCATTTGCCAGGCATCCTCCTTTTTGGCAGGGAAAATGCTGCCATAGAACAAAAACTGAGACAAGACCTGCAACAGGCAGCAGTGATGGGTGAGATTTGCACCTTCTGGGACAGAGTCAGGTTACCTGGGCAGGCGGATCAGCAGCTGAGGGAGCAGGCTCCCATTCCATCCCCCTGGGCCCCCTCCAACCCCACGAGGCTGCAGGCCACAGGCGCGGCAGCACGGCCTTCGGGTTGCCGCTGCGGCCCAGGAGAAGGACCACAGTTCTGTCACACAGCAGCTGCATTGACACAGAAGGTCCTGGCTTCTCCAGGTGGGCTAGGAGGGAATCTTGCCTGCACCCCTGCAGGGCTGCTGCCAGCCCGTGAGGGCAATACTGGGCTAGATGGCCAAGGGTCTAATGCAGCAAAAGGTGGCTTCCCATGTTCCTCCGGCAGAGAGAGGAGCTAGCACAGCTCAACCTTAGGTGAGAGATTCATCCATGGTCGTACCGCCCCGCAAAGGGCTGGGCAAGCCTAAGGGCACCCCAGAGCTTGTACTGATCCCTCCCTGATGAAGCTTGCCAAAGGGATAGTGGACTGACCATGGGACGTTTGCGTAAAAGGGGGAAAGTGCATAAAACCGATGCAGATTAGCAACACTCCATATCTTGGATGCTGCTAAATACCGCACAACATTTGAAATACCTTGCTGAGTCAAAGGACAGTGAGACTCATCAAAACTGCTTTGAGTTTATACAGTATTGTCAAGAGAAATCATTTTGATCTAAGCAACTCTTGTTTGAAACAGTAAAATACTCCTTTCAGCAAGAGCTGTTTTCACAGGCAGGCCGTTCTCGAAGTACAGCTCAGCTTTCTGCAACTGGTGCCTTCCAGAGGTGCTGGACTACAGTTCTCATCTACAGCTCTGGGACTGATGGAAGTGGTGTTCCCACACATCTGGAAAGGCAGTGTAAATATTTCACTGCTGTGATACTTATTATCACCTTAACAAGCTGCCAAAAGGAACCCTTCTGAAGCATCTCGCAGCAGTGCTTAGCATTGCAACAGCTTTTAGAAACATATCACACTTTCCCCAATCTCCTTCGCAGCTGTCCATCTTTCAGGGGAAATTCTACATCCTGAAAAAGCATCCAATTAGAAGAGTTCTCTTGTTTGATTCACATCCTGCAGAGTGCAATAAAATAATGATTTCAGGACGGAATATTGGGGTGGGGGCAGGTTTAATCCTTGTGCTCGGTGGACATGATCCTTCATTTCCTAAGAGATCACAAGACTTCCTAAAAATGTGCAAAATACAACAGAAGCATGACAGCTCATGTCCGTAAACGGGTTCCCTGAATCTATTACTTCAGGGGTGTTTGCACCTCGCCATTCCAGTGGAACACCCTTTCCATGTGGACTCACCTGCCCCAGGACTCCAGCACACTGCAAGGAGCCGTGGTGCCCTCTCCCCACACAGGATGCCTGCCTGGCAGGCTGCATCTCAGGGAAGCCTGACCAGGAGGAGGCTGCTTGCCGTCACTTTTCCCACTGAAGGACCCCAGCTGTGCTTCTGGGGCACCTCAGAGCAGTCTGCAAGCCACAGCTGCTTTAACTATTCCATTCTCCACTGTTGCAGTCATTGTTTTCATCCTCTTCTGAGTCCGCCGACACTTTCTTGATTCTCTGGATCGCAGCCTCGATGCTCCTCTGCAGCTCACTACTGCTGCCTTTCTCGACCTCCGGCCTGGGCTTCTGGCTGACTTTCCTCAGCTTGACTCCTTGCCTGATGGCAGCGAGGATGCTGTCGTTGAGGAACGAGCTGGAAGACACCTCCCGAGAGGGCAGCTCCACTTTCCGGAGAAGAGTTTCACCCCGCTTGAGTGAAGCCAGCACCTCATCCATGGTTCCTGCAGTGCAGTAAATCAAGTTGTCATTCGCAGGCCAAGGAGCCAGAGGGGCAAAGAAAGGAATGGGTGGAAGCTCCCATGCGAACCTGGGGGACTGGCTGCACCCGAGCAGCTGGTCCTATTCTTGCCCAGAATACAGAATCAAATGCTGGCCCATAGCTTCCAAGATCAGCAGGAGATGGTGTCTCTTTCCCACGAGAGGGCTTTACCTCCGTCTCCTTCAGCTAATTAATATTAGGATCATGACGGATTCAGAAGAACTCACTCCTCCCTGCCAAGTCAGTGCAAGTTCCAGATTTAGGAAGTGAGGCTAAGGCAAGATGTTTGCCTCCCCCACCCCATCAGCCTGTCCACTGCCATCCTTGCGTAAGCCCAGTCCACACCAGCACGGAGATGAAGGGCAAGGCAAGCAGACACTGGATGCATCTCCTTACTCTGGGTACTGCATGTTTGGAGAAGGCTGGTGAAGAAGCCAAGATCCGAAATGAAAGCAACAACTGAGCTCTGAAGCAGCCGGAACCACCACCAGAGTTTGCTGGACTGGATGCTCATGGCTGCAGTCCCGCAGTACTACAGCAGGAATTGCCCTCCTTGGCCCTCCTGGGTGTCCAGTGCTGCCCCCCCATCCCCCCCCCCCACTGTCCCCTGGCCACAGCTGCTTCGGTGGTTTTCTGGCTTTTCTGCAATTGTTGCCCACCATTCTGACTGGCAGGAAGCACTTTAAGCTAGAATATGCTGGGAGGAGTAGTAAATTTCCCTCCCTTTGGAACTAGGCATGGGGATGAAGGAAGCCTGATAAAACCTCTTCCACTTCCCCTCCCTTTATAAAGTTAGTTTTCTGCACGCCTCAGTTCCCCCTGCCCCACAAGCCAAAGCTTTCCAGGTCTACTTGAAAAAAAATCTTTAAAATGGAGCAGGTGACAAATGGATGTTCTGCATACATATGAAAAGGGAAGTGAGCTAATGGAGAAACAGATATTATGCCAAGAAAAAAGACACCATGTCGGAGAGCATTGGTCTGAAGTCACCATGCACACGGTCAACAGATTTAGAAGCAGGCTGCCTACTCCGTTCTCCCTTCTGACCACTGCTCACATGTTTGAGGACCAGGAAGACTAAGCATGCAGGAGATGCCAAGCTGAAGCTCCTTTTGGGATTTGAAGAGGCAGTCACTCAGGGAAAAACCACACAAAGAGCCACAACTGATTTGCAAAACGTTCCTTATCAAGAAGTGAACTGCTGCAAATGTCTTACAGGGCCAAAATGGGTTTGTCTGCAACATTTGTGTCTTTTTGCATTTCACCCCTTAAACAGAGCTGGCCACCGAGCTGCAGAAAGCCGCATTCACTGCACTGCTACCGACAGCTCAACCGCAGAACTGGCCTCTCCCTTGGCGTGTTTGCTATGCCCCAGATGAGGCTACCAGTGCAAACAAGAGCTGTTGGTTCTGCCAGCACAGGGGAAAAAGCAGACTTCTGTTCTCTCTTCAGCTGGTGCAAGACTGTTTGTGTGCTCAGTGCACAGGGTTAGCTGCGATGGGAAGAGTTAGTTACCCCAGGAACCCAGCTTTTCCCAGTTCACATTTTATGCACCTCTAGAACCATCTGGGGCTCCCTGGAAGACCAGTGAGCAAACCATTGCCCGGCTTTGCTGTACTTTGAGGATCTGCTGCCTTAGAGAGAACCCTCATGTAAGAGGCAACTGTGGTGCACATCTTCGTACCATGAGTCTCTCACCTGTGTCTCTCACCTTGGGGGAATGGGGATTGTCCCCAGGTGGGCACTCAAGTGACAAGTTTGCTCTGGACAGTGGTGGCGAACCTTTTAGAGACCAAGTGCCCAAAGTGCAACTCAAAACCCATGTATTTACTGCGAAGTGCCAAAACTACAATAAAACCTGAAAACTGAGGTTTTAGCTTAAAACAAACACCTCACATCCAGTCCAAGCAAATATATGTATATGTCCTTGGCAGTGCAAGGACCAGCCATGTGGAAGCTTGGAAGGATCGCGGCTAATGAGTCTGGAGCCATTACTCCTTTCCGAGCATGTGCGTGGCTGCAATGCACTGCTATCCGTCGCTCGGCCGCTGGGGCGACGTGGCTCAGCTCATTGCACAGCTGATCATTTCAGCCCATGCCAAGCACATTCCAACCATCAAAATCATACCAAGATCCCATGTTTTTCTAACCCAAACCCTACCCTGGTGCACACTCCTAGCCCTATTATAGGGCGAAAGTTCCACTGAAAAGAGAGTGATTTTCAAAAAGCCATCCTTGACTAGTTTTTTTCTGTACAGCTTGTATTTTTTCTGCCCATTCTAAATACATTCCAACCATCAAAACCATCCATGGACACCTCGTTTTCCTAACCCTAACCCTACCCTGGTGCACACCCCTAACCCTAATAAAGGGGGGAAGTTCCATTGTAAAGAGGGCGATTTTGAAAAAGCTTTCCTTGGCTTGGTTTTTCTGCACAGCTCAGAATTTCTGCCCATTCTAAACATATTCCAACTACCAAAACCTTGCCAGGACACCTTGTTTTCCTAACCTTAACCTTACCCTGGTGCACACCCCTAACCCTACATCCCACCACTTGTCTATTGGACCCTTGCCCGTCTTGGTTAATAAATAATTCCAAGCACGGGATTAGGACCTGGATCTTGGAAGTGGTTAACGCTTCTCTGAGGGAGGGTCGGGTGCCTGCCCCTTTAAAGGAGGCGGTAGTCTGACCGGTCCTGAAGAAAGCGTCACTGGATCCAGAGATGGCCACTGGTCTATAGTTAGTGGCCATCTCTGGATCCAGTGACG